ATTCGTGATTTAACTAACGACAAAGATAGGCTGGACAACAACGAGGAGGCGTGAAAAACGGGACGAATTTCTTCTTTTCCCTCTTGCCCCTTTCTCTTCCTCTCGCAATTTCACCAACGTTAAGAGATGAAGCTCCTGCTTTATCTTAAGGTTCTTTCGCCTCCTTTGCCTGGCCGCGTTCACGGGATCACAAAGAGCGACCGGGGAGAGGGCCGAGAGAAAGAGAGAGATAGAGAGGGAAAGAGAGATTAATTGCCTCCGATAGCGTTAATCGGTAAAAGGACTCGATACGTAAGGAGGGAAATCGAGTCACGACCGGGAGAGAGAGGATCCGAAAACCGGGAGAAGAGTCCCGCCTCTGGATTCTGGAAACCGTCTAGAGAAAAAGACTTCCGGGGTTTTCGAGTCAAAATTGTAGCCCCACTTTGAATCCGTGCAACGATTTCACTCTCTGTATCCTACTTTCGATCTCGTATATCCTACTTAATGCGAATTAAATTCAACTTCAGGCTTACAAACAGAAGAAATAAAAACATCTTCCACCTTTAAGGCCTAAGTAGGATCTCAATTGTTTTCAAGTTACTCGAGTTGAAATTTCAGCCTTATTTTCAGCCTGCGTAACATTCGTAGGCGTCTTTCGATCATGTTTGACTCTTTAAGACCTACTTTCGATCTTGAACGTCCTACTCAATTAAGTCTTAATTTAGGCCTTAAAATAGAAGAAATGGTAATTTCTTCCACTTTTAAGGTCTAAAGTAGGATCTCATTTGAATAGAAGAATTATCTTTTTTTTTTTCATGTTACCTCAAACTTTATTTAGGGTCTACAATTCGGGATTCTACTTAGAATTAAACTTTCGACTCAGAGTGCCTTTCTTTATATTATCCGAAAACCCATTTAAGGCCAAAATGTAGAAATTCTAAGTAGAATAAAAATTTCGACTCGGATTCGGGCCATTTTTTTCATAGACTCGATTGTCCAACATGCCGCTTCGCAAGTACCCTTCGGATCAGTCTGACTAAATCCAGGGTGGATGTTACATCGGATGTTGGAAATTAATGCAATCACTGTAATGCAAGTCGAGTCGGAAAGGAGATCGTTTCCTGTTCGTCCCTCGGGATATCGCCAGGAGACTAATCCGGGATATTCCTGAGACACTGGCTTGAGTTGTAAACCAACCGACCCAGAAACGTACCTCCACTTTCCGAGGTATCCTCGAGAGCCCGAAAATATACACATGGATCTAGCAAATAATCGAGATGGTACAATGTTAACTAAAAATTAATCTCCGCATAAAAAGATAACGGCCTCGATATGATCCCCGTGGCAAAAAGAAGCACATTTAACACATTAATTGTCAAGAAAAGTTATAGAGGATTTAAAAAATAAATAAATTCAGGCCGATAAGGAAGTCTACGATAATCCGTTTCGAGACTGGCAAGTTCTGAAACAAATTTCTCATCCATTGGATCACCCAGTCCTGTCGTCACCTTATACTTCCTTCCGGATTCTACCGTTACATTCAGAGTAAATCGGCGATAAATCATCGGCTACCCGAGATTAATCGGAATCGCGAGCCGAGTCGAGTCGGGAATAAGGTTATTCATCTGCCTTCCCTCGGGATATCCCGAGGGCTAATCCGGGATATTCTTGAGATATTGACCCGAGGCATGAACCAACCGACCCCGAGATGTACTTTCATCTCTTGGGAGAGCGAAAAAAAAATAAGTTAGAAAAAAAAGAAACAGGTCCTCTCGATACACCTCGCGAATGAGTCGCGAGGATACAGGCGCATTTCACGATTTTCTCCCGCAAATGAAATTCCCATCGACACGGGGTATACATTATACGGTAGCTCGCGATTTGTCCGTGGAATTAATTCCGGGATACGCGCGATGTTTACTACTCGGATAAACATTCGAAATAAATGCCGACGCGAGAGAGTCGGGCCAGAGTGGAACTTCCACCCTGGAAATTTTCCCGTAGGGATTGCTATGAAAATCACACCTCGGCTCGATATTTTTAAACCGGTCAAAATCGGCCGAACTAATCGAGCGTAACAGGAAATGCCGACGACGATAGGTAACGATATCCGCGATATCTAATATTGGCTCAAAACATATACATACGAGTATGTATGTACACGCACACTTAATGGCGCGCATAAATATGTGCACTTTTAATACCCGAGTCGGCTCGTTATTTAAACGACTCTTGCACGGCCTTCGAGCAAAATACGTAATTGAACGTACATACACCGGCACCCTGGAGTACTCGTCAATGTGCCCTCCGGATCCACCAAACCACGATTTTTTTTTAACGATTTTACGAATATCGAAAAAAAATCCCGAGAGATTCTCAGGTAAATGTCTGTACCAAAGAAACTCAAGTAGCAAGTAAAGCGCTTAAAGAAACACCGGTTGGTAATTTCATTAAAAAAAAATTAACGCGCGCCGCCGGCTGTTATTTCATAATTAAAGTCCAAAAATGAAGAAAACGCCACTAGTGAAATTTTCATTTTGAAGGCATGAAATAACTCGTTAGTAATTGACGACGTTCGTACTTGAATACATACATTTAATAGCGTTTGTTCGTCACCGGTCAATAATATGTTAAGTCTTCGTAGTAAAAGGATTGCTCGAAGTACATATTTGTAGAAATAATTCCGGTTAGGTGCGACCTTCAAACTAGACACACCAACAGATGAGACCGAAGAACGTTTCCTGTTTTCATCGCGTCTCCTTGCTTGGAGCACGAAAACAACACTGAGACGCAATTCTGATTAACAATTAGCCTAAGGTACTGAAATTTAACGAGCCCATTGTCCAAATGTCAAATACATTCGTTGGAACTAGAAAACGCAAAACTTCAGAATTCGACGTCGAAATGACAAAAATGTAGAATTTAAAGTTAGAAGTTCAAATGGCAAAACTTCATACTTAAACTTCAGAACTCGAGATAGAAGTGGCAAAACTTACGAGTTCGAAGTGGAAGTCTGAAAAATTCGACGCAGAGACCGGTACTATCTCTAAGCGAAAAATGCCTGCAAAAGTGCTCGTTGGAAGGCACACGAAAATCCATCAAATCCCTTTTCCGCCTCTAAAGGAATAGAGACGCTTCAAAATCGCGATTGATTACATTTATTGAGTCCTGTAACTTACTCCCGCTCGCCCTTTCTATATTCCTCGTCCCTTTAACAGCTCCCATCATCTACCAATTATCGACAAATCAAGCTGCTACCATGCCTCCAAATATGAGAAATTCCCCCGAAAACATTTTCTGCGCCTATGGGAGGTAAAATACTAAATTGAGTTAAGGTAAAGGGGTACAGAAATGTTCAAATCGAATAGTCGAAACCAGCGTCGAATTTCTATCCCTGGTTTGGATGAGAGGTGATTTCGCCAGTCGATTCATGCCATGGATGCACACGTAGAGATCGATTTTTCGATTATTCGGACGCTCGAGGGGGTTAATTGAAAACGCGCGGCTTCGCTGAGGTGCTGGAAAGAAGAAAAGGCGAGAGAGTAGACTCGACGAGAGGGAATGTCGATTACTCACCGGCGCGGCGGAACAGTGCTCCAGGAGGATCCGCGGGTCACTGTCACACTGCACCAGGGACGCGACTCGTTGCCTGGAGCAACGGAGCCCTCGGGACGACGGGGTAGTTCCCGACGTCGGCGACGGGAGTGCCGCGGGCCGCAACGGTTCGCACTCGCGGACAGCAGGTCCCACGAAGCCTAAGGCCAGAAGGAAGTAAACCCGAAGTAGCCTCGGACCGCCATGCACAGACTGCCGTGTCCGATCCGGCGAGACCCGCGCATGCCTTCATCGAACGCGCCCTCTCCCCTCGGCAATGGTCGCGCGCCACCGTCGCCATCTTGCGATAGTCCCGGGAACCGATAAGCGCAAAGAGACCGAAATTATCGATCGACGATATACTAACGAGCTAGCAGTGATGGATAATGATGCGTTACTCGAGATTTTCACGTATATTGCGTAAATCAAATCATTTATCGTAGAGAATATCGTAGAATGTCAATAAATTACTTATCAAATATGGCGAATGCTGCAAATTTATGACATAGAACCAATAGAATTTTAGCCGCGGTAAGTTACGTCAGAAACGATGAGAAATTCCTGGGAAGTTATCGATAATTTCTCCTGTAACGAGCCACTCGCTCTCGGGAAACATGTAGCCATCTATAGCGCATTATCCAAGCTCCTTATTACGCGGTAGATTCGAGACATTGTATTGCGAATTTGGTCACGACACGCAACGGGACCAAGGAGAGGAAGGGGTAAACGAATATACTACGTGTCCCGACGACTCACCCACACAGTTAAAGCCATTCTTCTTACTGAAAATCTAGGAGTGGGAGATCCAGTGCGAGGTCTAGATATGCATGGTCTGAGCGAGACGGGGAGGCAGCCATATTACCGCGTCAAAACGTGGCGCAAGATTTGAATAAGTCTTTCTACTTTTTACATTGAAAGTAAAAAGAAATAACAAAATTAAAATTCAAAGCTGTAATTATGTAGTTTATGTTAAGTTTTTAATCGTTTTCTCTGCAATTAATAGTAATAGATAATTACAGGTATATTTTAACATACGTCATCGTTCTTTTATCATTACTTTTTCAGAACGAAACAACGGGTTCATCTGGGCTTTTTTTTTTCTTCAACTTCCCAGATTTTACCTTGCAACTACGAGCCACACGGAACGTTAATGGTTTTTGGAGAACGACCAAATTGAACATTTTCAATTTGGTCGTTTTGTGACTTTTAAATTAGTACTTTGATTGCTTTGTGATATTCGGCATTTGAACATGCCAATATGGCCGACTGCTCCCCCTTCGGCTTCAACCTCGCGGGCAAATACCCAGTCTCTCTAGTACTATATCCATGGAATATACCGATGCTCGAGTAAAGATACATATCCGTGACCCTTCTATTGATCATTCTTTCACAGCCTTCGGCGTGAAATCACAAGTGGTAAAGGTTATTTAAAAATGGCGGACGCATCGTCTTCCGACACTACCTCAGATTGTTACAATGATTGTTTCTCTGATATTTCATCCGAGGTGCCTTCGGAATACGTTGTCGTAGGCCAGAAGCCTTGTACGTCTCATTGGAATAATAAAAGACACTTCTTGCAGAAATTATATACGCGAGAGGTAAGACTTAACCTTCAAACAACGAAGGCATTGTTTGAACTGACAGCCTTCCAAATCTGTCAATGCACTTGACATGTTCCATTGGAAATAAAATGCCGTGTGAATCGAATTTGACACGTTTCATAGAAATTCAAAACTTTAACTCACTTTTCATTGAGTATAATAATACTCTTTTTCAATGTATTAGTTTAAACCCCATTTATTTGTAATTTTATTTTCATAAGAAATTTAATTTTTATGCTCATATTACTTGTTGGAGTATATTACTTTTTATGTGTTCTGACGTTGCATTCGACGTCTTGCAGATCAGAGGTTGTCTATCGATTCATAATTATGCAGCAGAAGAAAGAATGTTCATAAATGTACCTCCATGGCGACATTTGCAGCTTATTCAGGTAGTTCCCAAGTATGCTCTTGAAGCAGGGTACGTATTAATTTTTATTTTTTTCATTAATATATCAATTGTTTCTAAGTACATTTCACAAACTTTAGTCCAAAACAAATAGTCCTCATTGTCATTTTAACCATTTAATATAGTTATAAACAAATGCGATGCAAATTTGTAATAATGTTCTTTCATGCATAAAAAAAAGTAGGAAAATAATTCCTTTAAAAGGTGCACATGTTAAATGATTCAACTTGAATTAACACGTTTTTTATATAAAAATTTTTATTTATTTCACAAAGGCATATAGTTATGGGGCTGACACAATGTGGTCAGTTTCTATTGACCTACACGTACAGCCTGGATGTCAGTGGTAATAGTTCGATGTACAAATACTTATTGCATTGGTGGGCATTTACCCCTAATCACGTCTCCCGTAAAGTTGCCGAAGTTACCTTATTTGGTAACTATACCATTTACAGAGAGCTTACTATAGTTATATCTCAATGGCCAATGGAAAGAAGTAAGCTAGTCATACATGGTCTGTGGTAAGTTTTGCTTCAAGTTTAATGAAAGAAAATAAAAGTTTATGTTTAAAATAAAAATTTTTCATTTCAGTACTAACTGGTTGCAATTGCAGCCAACGGATAGAGCATACTTAACGATAACAACTGTACCTTCCCTCCAAAACTGCAGAGATTGCCTAAAAGTTGCCGCATCTTACGAAGAAGAAGGTACAGTTACTTGAAACATTGTGAATTAATTTATTGTGAATATTTATGTACTATCATAATTGTACCATTCCTTCTCAGAATTGGCTGCTAGTTGGGACAGTGGTGTTCGTTGCAATTGCTTACAACATGGACTTACAGTTCACACGACATATGAAGTTATCTCTCCATACCCGCGTTTTCGGGCCGCAGTGTGTTTAAAGTACTGGAACCATGTCGTAGTTAACACAGGGAACTTTTTACACGTCCTTAGGGTAGATCTGGATCTCTTAAAGACTAAAAATCAAAAGTCCGTTGACAAACAAGGATTTACAATGCCTGACACAGTACCTTTAGATGTAACAAGTGACATCGAGGAGGCAGACGATGCAAAAACTGAGTGCTCTGAAAGCTTGGACGACAAACTGAGTACATCCGATGGACAAGTCGAACGGTCACCCAAATGTGATGGACCTAACGAACAAAGCTTTGTCGACGAGACGAGTAAGTGCGAAGAGAAAACAGGACACGATTTGCTGGTGCATACCTCAAGCAGTGATCAAAGCGATTACATCTGTGATATTAGTAAGCCTAGTGATAGCTTAAGCGTTAAAGTGTGTCAATGTGTGGATGATTGCAAGTGCCGTGGTACAAATGCGATCAGCTCTCGAGGAGAGCAGCAAGCAATATCGGTCAGAGATAAGATATTGCAGGACTTTTGCGATGATCTCTCCCAGGAACTTAGTATCGGTAGTGACTCGATAACATTAGTGAAGCATCCCTCTTGTTCTCCACGCTCAACGCCACAAAGATTGCCGTCCGATCTTCGATCTTTCACGTGGTCCTCGCCAATAATCAATCCACCTTCGGACATCCTGAGGACACGTAATTCGGAATCTAGTCATGGGAACATGCGTATTCAACGTTCCAACTCCCCACAACCTGGTGTGTCACAGGACGCAACTGGAATCGGTGTCACGTTAGTAAACCCTTCGCTACATGCTCTTTCCGTAAGTCCATCATCCTCGTGTACCCCCCGATTAATGACACCACGTATTACAAGATCTTTTCGACGACACCCCAGTCCTCGCAAACGAACAAACCTTCATTCCCCACCGCCTACTCTTCCCTCTCCTCAACCCAGAGGTCGAGCTACGCACAAACTCATCCTCGAGGCTGAAAAAGCTTACGAGTTCACGGACGAGTCTCAAGAAACTTGTGAGAAACTCAGCTCGTTTCGGAAACGTAGACTAGCGGATAAGAAATATGAATTTTGCGACGAAATCGAGGATGCAGAGAATATAGTTCCTTTCAAACATATACGTGATCAGTCCAAACACCCTGGTTGCTCTCTACAAGTGACCTCTCCGTCTGCCTCACCCTTGCCGAATATTAGAAAACATCGCCTGGACTCGGATCACAGCGAGACGAGTGAATCCAATCCTCAAGATAACAATTCATCCAACGACTTCCAATCTACTGACAGCGGTAAACTATTAACCTGTGAATAGCATTCGTGTTATGACCATCTTTCATATTTTAATCTTTGTTAAAAATGTATACACTGCGCCGTAAAAATTATAATAATCGCAAAACTTCTCATTTGGCAGAAAAATGTGTGCTGAGGCCCTTAAATCAAAACCAACTTCCGAATGGTGGGATGTATCGTGATCGTTCCAGTAAACTATGCTCAAATGCTTCACCACTGGTCCCTAAAGTCTCGTTGCAATATCCCACCATAAAATGCACTGCACATTTCAAACGAAGTTACATAGAAATGGATGACGAAATGGTGTCTGTCATTACCGATGTAGAAGGTTAATTCCAGCATTCTTATTGATTCTTCACATTTTTGCAATAAGCTAACATTCAATAATAATCAATTTGTACAAATATTTAAGATACAAAACATGTTACTTCGTTTGCACTACTAATAGCGTTATTAATTGGAAAAAATATAATTTTTCAGACGACGAGACTGGTGGTTACGTTAGCTATCAATGCGTACTGCCAATACATGTTCACGGATCTGGGTACGCACAAATGCAAATGATTAGTAATAGTAAAGCAGAAAAAATGGTAAGTTCGTTTTCATTCTACTTGATTACACACATATCTGGCTACAAAGATATAATTCTCTTACTTTTAATCAAAGATGGTACCTTGCGTGATTGTACACCAGCTCAGCTTCGACATCGAAACGTTTTCCCATCACATCGCCGATTGGATCTGCACAAGATTCAAGAAAAAATACTGGCACTGTAGTGATTACGATATAGAGATAATCGATGTATGTTCACTTAGTGGTGACGTGATATGCCTGCTTATTATGAAAATTCAAGCCAGCGAACTCTGCAATCCAACACAATGGTGAGTATAATTATCTCGTCTTGCACTTTTCTCGTTCCTGGTCTCAAGGTCTGGTATAAAGATAAAACTAGTTAATTAAAACTTTACGTCTTTTACACTCATGACCACAAAAACTCGTAACAATTCTCATCGTTAGTTCGCAAGAAAGGAAGCTATACGACGTCGGCTGCAAGTTCACGTGGAACATAGACACAAACCAATACAGAATAACAGACGTGTTGCCAATGTTAGAACTGAAACCAAAACCGTCAAAACTGCTTGAAGATTCAATTACTCGTGGTCCAGTGTGGAATCCAGCAAAAGTGATCGCACCAGCACTGAGAAAGAAGATTCAACAACCGTATGCGCGTACGGTACGATTTTTGCACAACGAAATAACTTTGTCAGGTCGGTTGTTTCTCCAAAATACATATTACAATATCCTTCCGAAATTCTTCTAATACTGTGTTGGTTTTAGGCGAGTCCATCATCAGGTTACAGGATCTAGACAATCTGGTGGAGTTTTATGTCACGTCCCTGCCAAACTCTCCCTTAGTGTAGCCGGCGGTTGCCAACAAATGATACAAATAAATAAATTATTAATTCTAACATAAGCACAATGGGGTCGTCGAATGGATTTAACCACTTACAATTCTCCGAATAAAGGCAGATGATAGTTTATTGGTACTCCTAAAGAATTAACCATTTACAACAAGTCTTACCAAGCTATTGGACAAGTATGCAGGTAATAGGACGTGTTTGTCGAAAAGCTGCCATGCAGTTCGACTAGATATCGGAATGTAATTGGCAAACAAGGATCGCCATAAATGCATTTGCAACTTGTAAAAAATTGTACATTTCCACATTATCAAGACCTTAGGAATGTATAATCTTACATCTTACAGATAAAAAGATACTTTGATCAAATAACTGTTACAAACAATAGTCTGTCCTTTAAGTACCATGATCGAACTGATTGTAAAGTTACGTTGATGTAATTTTCGAAAAATGCTAATGCGACATACAATGATCCTTGAGCAGAAACAACTGACAACAAGCACGGATATCTGGAATACACTTACAAATTAAGAGATTCACATTACTTGCATTCTTGGTATATAAATGAATGGTTAATTGCATTTTAACAAATTTTCTATTTTTTAATGCAATGAGCCATCTTTATGAAAAATGTTCTATAATTATATTATGCAAGAGGTACCACCGGTGTCAGTAAACGATCTGTGGCTTAAATTGCACAAATTCGGAACTGCGTTTAAATAATATCGGAACCCTGAATCATAATAATTAAGGAGCTAGAATTTACGGCGGTATCTTAACTGTGGTATTTTCATTACCATTCGATGCAACATCGTCGAGTTTCAATCCAGCAAGTACTTCTTCCCAGGCACGCATGCATTGTTGATAATGCACAATCTGCCGATCGGCCATAGATGCCAACATTTGTTTCAAATCTCTGCGTCTTTCTATGTTCCATCGTTCCAAGTCGCTCCGTAAGTTTTCGTTCGCACATTCAACGCGATCTTGCAACATCTCAACGCGTTTCGACAAACGTGGCACGGTATGCCCGAGTCTTTCCAATTTCTCGTCTCGTGATTCCCCTTTCCATAATGACCCACTCCAACTTTGTGACATCGTTGATCCATTGGATATGCCTAATAACTGCATGATTACAAGAGGACAACGTTACAAGTTGCATTTCCATGTAAGACAATATGAAAGTAATTTCTTAACAAACCTGATCCTTTTCGATTCGATATTTTGCTAATTCTTCAACAGTCATTTCATATTCAGCTTGCATGGAATCACGTCGCGCTAATGCATCCTTCACTGCATCTACGTAAGCAATGTAATCGCGACCTTCGCTCGTAGTGGAGTCCAACAATTTTTGGTTCGCAGTAGCATTGGCTTCAATTGCCCTAGCAATTGCAAGTAATACAGGGGAGAGTTCAGGTTCGGAGGTAGCCCACAGTGTAAATATTGGATGCAATTGATGCAGTACGCATAAGTAGTCTGGAGAATACCATATTAACAAAAATGTTAAATTTTTTAAATTAACACAGCACAATTATTTTGTAGAAGATTACTTACCCTGCCTTTCTTTATACATGCGATTACTAATTTTGTCTATAGTCAGCAGTTTTTCTCTAAGCGATATGCAATAATCTCGGACACGTTCAAACTCTACATGACGCCGCTTTGGAGTATAAACACCTACTATGTTTTGTAAAGAATCGGTCACTTTTACAAAGACATTTCCATGGTTTTTACGGTGCACAGCGAATTCCTAAACAGACATTATTAATTCACTTTTTATGTATCCATACCAAATGTTTATTTCAAGAAATGATGAATACTTACGGCTGGCTTAGCGCACAGGAAAATATGTACATTCTGGTCACAACTTAAAATTGGGTGATTGGCAATACGGTTCATAAATATATGTAGCAGTTTCATACGGGATGCTATAAATTCCTTGGAATAACGATCCAATTGGGCAAGCAGCGTATGTTTACCTGGTATTGGCTGTTTAAAATAAACACAAAAAATTCCATTTATATCGAATTTAACCATAGTGCATTGTCTCGGATTCTCTAATAACTCACTGGAATTATATGAGTTGGATATGAATCGACCAACTTTTGGCGCAACCAATTGAAATCATTGTAACGCCTGCGAACAATGTATTCCCGTTCACTGAATTCAGGCCTAGAAGTCTGTTAAACAATTTCTTGATAAGTACACATATCCTATGTACAATTTAACCAATATACTCACCTTGGTTGTAACACGAAATGTTACAAAAGTCTCCAATGTTTCTAAATGTTTCTGCGGATTATCAACTTTAATTTGTAGGTCTCGGGAATCAAATTGTAAATCTGAGCTGTCGTGCTCAGGAAGAGTGGAGAAACTATCCGTGGACGGTGAAGCAACCTCAAACATAAGTTATTACACCATTAGTTGACAAATGCATCGACGTGAATACCTTTTTAGAAAAAGGAACGAAAAACTATTAATAATTCAAAGTTATGTTCTTACCACCGAGCCTTCCGCCGAAGTGCTGTAGTTTGAAAAGAGATCCGTTTCCCGACTTTCCTGCTTCGTTATTCCACCTGCAGCCATCGTGCTGACTTCTAGGACGGCTGTTCCACTTGCCACCTTGGCTTCCAGAGTTTCCACCTCACTTTCTGAGGTCATCATCTTTCCCCACTTTTCCTATTTATTTTCAACCGAGAGCGGATTATTGACAACAATCTTATCGAGTGGAAGGGATTACCTGTTCCTTTCCAAAACATTCCATTTCCGTCTTTCTATTCTCAATTCTCTGCACTTACTATGTTTACGTCGATACGGATTATGTCAGGTATTAAAGTAAAATAGGGTACCCTGATTGGTGTTTCGGTTAGATCCGCAATATATCTGACCAATCACAATGTTACATCTAATTTCACTGTAAAATAAAATACTTCGATGTGAATACTAGGCGTCTATTACGTATTTTTGACGTGCGCTCTCACTTCTCGCACTTTCATCTCACGTGGGTTTATTCGCCGAATTACGTATTCGCTATATGAAAGACCGAGATCACTAGCACTTTCAGTCTAGTAATATTGTTAAATAAAGGTAGATACCTTGTAAATCGAAAATTGTTGAGAGGTAGTGTGTTATAGGCAGAAAAGACGAGAAGATGAAAAGCCGTTAAAAGTAAAGAAGAGGACTCGAGTCTATGCTTCACCATTTCGCTTAAAACTTTATATCGAGCCAATTCATATGAATGGTTTCGCATTTTCACCACCAAAACTGTTCCGTAATACCGTGAACTACTCATTTTTCACATTTTCGCTCAATTTGCTTTACGTAATAGACCCCCCAATTTCACAACTCGAGTTAATCGGAATTTAATTGATTTACAGTAGGTTTAAACCGTGTGTAAACGAATTGAACTTCGGTTAACTCGAGTTGTAGAACCAGACCTTAAAACGGTGCTATATATTATCTAGGGTATTATAATCTAACTAAATTATTTGGATGCATAAAAATAATCAACAAATAAGAATGGCTTGCAAGTTAACCGAACATCATTTTTATTCACGTCGCTGCTATTAATAGCATGTTCACAAGCTGAACATTCTAAATCGATTTATTAAAGTCAAAGACCGATTAGAACTTAGCCGATTTAATAAAATATATGGTAACAAATTCACATTAAATCCAGGCCAATTGTAAAATCTTTAATCGTTGAATTATTATCGCAAATCATTCAATCATCATTAGGTCCAAGTATTATATATATATGTTACATATATATAATACTTAGCCTGATATAACATACATGTGCAACATATATTCATACGGGCACAATCTTGAAACCGATTCACCGTTTATCATAACATTTTAGAAAACCATTTTTCTAGCTACATTAACTCTGCCCCGTCTTCTTCCCGTTACGATAGATAGCACCTACCGCGCCAGATAGCGCCTACCGCATACGGCCTTAGCGATATCGCGTACATATGCATACATATATATTCATATATATATATACCATAGATACTTGTGTATGTAAATATGAGTAAATGCCCGCTCGCCAACTGTATACATGTTCAGCGGGCATGTAAGCCGACAGGTGTACATCGCGAGGTGGCGGCGGTCGCGGAGGAATACACTCGGAGTCCCGATCCAGTAAAGTAGTCCGGCGGAGTAGGCCAAATCGAGAACGTTGTCCCGAGCTCTGATGAAGTTCTGTTTCTCCGCAGCCCAAAATCGACGACTACCAAACGAAGGGAATTTAATCGTCCAGCTAGCCCGTCAACCAGCGAACCGATATACAATTAATAGATGATAAATTCGTTCGATGACGAGTGTGGGTGTTCGGTACCGACCGCGAGGGCCGCGCTCCGAAATGATCGCGACGCGGTCGCTGATGCGGTAGCCAAGGAGACCGGACCGCACGAGCGGGCAGCAGCGGCCAGCAACGGGGCACCTCGATCGTCGACCTGATACCCAGAAATTCCAACTCCGAGCCGCTTTAAACTGCCGATCCTTCGAACCACCTGTTTCGAAGCGATCGTCCCATCCACACCCCGACCTTGCCCTCCGAATCACACGGCAGAAAACCTAAAGTGTCACTTCGAAAAATACGTTTTCCACGCAGAACTTGACATTTGTGGTGGAATTCTGCTTAAACCCCGCTAGAATTGCACTGCTTCACTCAACGCACCAGTATCTTGAACCCTTCCGAAAAACAGGTGAGAAGACAACTGTCGATGTGTACCTAATTATCTCCTATCAAGGCTTTTTTCTTGTTTAAATAGATCACCGATGACAGATGTCTTTACGGTTGAGGTGTTCGATGGTTTCTGAAACAGAAATTTTCTTCGTTTGTAAATTAAGTTCTTTTGCTTTCTTTAAAAGTATAGAAAATTTCGAACTTCGCAGATATAACTCATCTTATGCACTTGAGAATTCATGATGTTATTTATTGTTACAGCGCAACTGAGCGGTGGACTAGCAAGGAGTACATCTATGATGTCCAGTGGTCAATTTGTCGGAGAACAAATCTGTATCCTGCCGGATACCCGGTAGCTATCGGCGTGACAATATTTCTACGCTGTGGACACGGCCCTTTAAAAACGTTGAGGTAATTAAACCATGTTATTATCAAAATAATTATATTACTCTTTCGACGTACTTAAGACATACATTTCTTGCAATGAAAGTTATTACCCTTTAAATATTCTTTGTAATACCCATTGCATAGTTTTGTTACTCCAATTAAATTATTAAAAATATTGTTTCTACTTCTATCGCATACGAGTTTTAAAACCATGATTAAGATTCTTAAAATCAATCGTAGAGGAAAATTTATCAATATTCTGATCATTTGTATGGAAAGATGTTTCGTACCTGTTTAGAAATGTGCATGATCATTTATTTTTATTTGAATTCGAGATAAGGGAAAGCAATGATGGTTGGATTCTCAAAAACTTAACGGCTAATTGTGCAATTACTTTGTACACCTGTTCATTGTCAAGAATTAAAACAAATTCAGAGTTTGTATTATGTTTACTATATTAAAAACAAAATTTTGCACTTAGCTTTTATATTATATTTTGAAAATTCTTATTCTTGACAGGTGCAGTATGATATTCAATCTAATTTTGAATGACCATTACGTTCTTGGTCATATTAAATAAGTTTTGAAATAAGTATCATGACAAATTATATTGCACACAATTTATTGATACAAGTAGTAAAATAAATATATGCAGTTTTCCTATATCCCACATACAATGCTGCACGTTATGCAATTGGTATTGCATGAGTGATCAAATCATTCAATGAATGATCAAACGATCATATGTAGCAAATGGAGAAACAACTGTAAATAACGTAAGGAATATCAAAGTCAAGTAAGAAAGTGACAAATGTTGGTTATGGAATTAATACATTGCGAATAACCTGATACATATAGCGGAAAACTCAAATAAACCTAGCGATTGGATAACTATCATGTATTGTATCACACATAATAAGATGGTTAAATTCAATTAAGATTCAGTATTAAACTAAAGTACCAAAATGATAAATACTGATTACAAGATCATTAAAATGACTAAGCATTCACAAATAACCTAGTATGCATTGGATCACTCGAATGAATATAAAAATTAAAATGACTATCATACATTGTGCTTCAAAAAATAAGACGGCTAAGTTCAATTAACACGTTCCATGCCTCGTGGGACATGTACACCCCATGGTCGGTGTACGACAGCATACTCGTCAGTTGTTTCGGCACTAAATGTGTTAAAATTCAATGTCAAAGTGAAGTGAAAAAATAATATATGGTAATTATAGGCTTGAGAGTTACAACAAAACAGCACTCACAAATAATTTAATAAGCATCGGAATATTCAAATGAAACGAAAAGAACAAAAATTCAAATTTTCTGAACGGTTTTTTATCGCCATTTCAACTAGTAATGGATTTACTGGTTTAAATATTTTTTAATCCCTCAAATATTATAAAGATCCCAGTTATGACCAAAATATTCTTTAAATGTACAGATTTTCGTATTATAACGTTTATTCCTGTTAATTTATTTTTAAACTTGCAGATTAAATATTTAACAATAGAGGTTAGAAGTTGTGTGACTTGTTTGTAACAGAAGGGTTCAGAAGATGAAAAGACCGAACACTTTATTTCTCACCAACCTTTGGCGAATCCCACGATTTTATATAATTATTAATTCTGTCTTATGTCTATCTTTTCGAAGGTTTCGCCATGTATGTGTACTACGTTTTTACCAAGATTTTGTGTCAATTATTCGTAAATTATCATTATGTAAATTTAAGCTTTGAGATTTTACATGTTATACAATTTTCTTATATTTAACGTACTGTCTTAATTTTTTCTTATCGTGGTAACATCTTTTGAAACGTTTATGTTTGATTGTTTATTCCTGAATTTCGCTTGTTTAACCAGTTAACTGTGTCGACCTATTTGAAACGTGTGTTTTCATGACGAGTATACTCGTCAATCACAGTTAACTCGTTAAACATTTTTGAACACGAGAATATTCCTGCTTTTAAAGTAGATCAGATATGAAATATGTCTGCTGTACTTACTTTGATCTTTTTCGGGAATTTTGTTTCGTGGACCCTTTCATTAAAGATTTTAATCTCTATTCAAGTAATTCCCATCTGCTGTACCCTTAACGTTTCTCAAACAAATTTGTAAAACGCTTCTTCGAAGTGGCATCCTTTTTAGATTCATTGATTTGTATTTGTATCAATCGTTTTTATCCAATATTACAGATGACAGATAACTTCTTTTTCTCGTTTTCCCAATTAAGGACTCGTGAGGAAATACTCGCCCATTGTTTCTTTCTCCAATTAGGACCTCATAAAAGAGAAGTCTGTCTTAAAGTAGACTGGATGGTTTGATCACCGAAGCCAGTTTGATCTCTGTCAAAAATGTTGAACGATTTTGCTGCTTATTATGGTGAAATTCGGACCCGATCAATATTTGATTTATTGATTATATTAAAGTTTTTTACAAGTTCCTCATTTTCATTAAGATTTACAAAGGCGTAAATATTCTTCCATAAAAAAAAACTGAGAGACGTCGTTACTGGAACATTCGTTATTGGAACAATATCGTAGAAATCGAATGTGAAAGATTAAGAAAATTCTAAATTTCATTAACAATGGTGAGTGCTCGAGATTTGATTTTTTTAATAGACATACCTACGAACGAGTGTTTTAACCGATCTGATTTCCTCATTTTCATAAAGATTTACAAAGGCGTAAATATTCTTCCATAAAAAAAAAAACTGAAAACGTCGTTACTGGAACATTCGTTATTGGAACAATATCGTAGAAATCGAATGTGAAAGATTAAGAAAATACTAGATTTCATTGACAATGGTGAGTGCTCAAGATTTGATTTTTTTAATAGGCATACCTACAAACAAGTGTTTTAACCGATCTGACTTCGATTAGGTTTTGTGGTTCATTCACTGTAGATTAGAATGTCCACAAAATCGTTAATCCACCATAATAGAAGTACAGCTGGTAAATGCAGCTGCTTTCAGATAACATTTTTAAACAATGATTATCTAACTACTTTGATATGATTTTTTTTAATTTTAGTATTTAAACTTTGACTCGGAGTGCCTTCGACGACTATCCAATGGTAACCTGGATCAGTGTATTAAAGCAATTAATTTCTAGTGTATTCTTATATACACTTGAAGGACATAATGTATAGGGAATGAGTGAAATAAATAATGGACTAACGTGTTGAAAAAGCATTAGGCGTGGTGACGTACAATTGTATGGAAGAGGAAGTGGATGCAGTCGTGCATAACAGAGGCCAGGTGTTTATACGTTATATTCCTTCTTTTAATACTTACTATGTGGTATCGTATTTTATCTTTTATAAATCCAAAGAGTTGATTAAAACGCCAGGAAAAGAAAGGAAATTAAGGAATATTGAATTTGTTATAGTAGTGATATATAGTTACGTGACAAAGTGATTCTTTTATGAATAGTTCTACTTCTTTCCATAAACGTCATCGAACCTCTCATACTATTTATATATATTATTAATGTATTATGTCATATGTATATCTAAACATTTTGAACATTCATTTTTTAAGAATCATCTGCTGTGCGTTTTCAATTAAAAAAAACAAGATGCATTGTGATACTTAAACGGCATGACGAATCTTTTTTAAATTTGTCTAACGATTTGTAGGACTTTCGAATTTATCCCGATATCAAACGCGTTATTGCCGATTTTGCTCTCTGAATTAAAGATACAATTCGGTATCGTGTGTTTTTTTTTGCACGTCGTTAATATCTTAAAACTAAAAGTTGAAGTAAATGATTTGATATTAATTATGACCCATACGTTTTGCAATCGCTATAAGAATCGCTCGTCACGTGAACAAATATTTATTAACATGCGGTAACGAATGTACATTATTCATTAAGATATAGTAAATACATCAAATTATTGTATCTCGCCAGAACAATTTATTTTCGTTTGTGTAGGCGTCTCGTATACAAGGCTCTTTGTATGTAGCAGTATATGTTTCATTAATCAATAACCTTACTGATAATATGTGTACGATTTCTTATAATCTGCTTTTACTTTTCATGTTAACACGTTTCATTTTTAACGTAATTATCTGATAATTATACTTGGATTCATATCTAAACATTAATTGATTATGATTAATACGGAAAAAACAAACGTTAAAACGTTCTTTACATTTATCGTTCGTCCAAATTATACTCCTTGTGTAAAATCGTATGATATAGTTAAAAAAATGTTTGCTGGAGGCAATACCGATCTGTTTCTTTATAAAAGTTTTATAACCGAAAGTGAATTTTGACAGAGCGAATATGAGGCATTGTATAACGTTTACTCTCGTACGTCAGTAAAATTAATAATAATCGTATCTAATTTACATTTTTCGAAATTACATAACTGGCAATTAGACCAGGACTTTTTATTTGAAATTCTATTGAATTGTACATATTATTAAGACGTTATAAAACTATTAAGAAAGATCGCAGCTCCAATGCTTCTCTCCGAGCAAAAGCGACGTAGTATTGACAATACCTGTTTATTTAATAACATCCTCCATTGCTTTTGCCTCCGTGAAAAATATAATTTATCGACAAAGATACAGATCGAAAGTTTTAATTTAACAACAGGTGCTACTTGTATTTGTGACGAGAAGAGTAAATTGCAATATTTATTAAAATTCACAGGGATCCCTATCGAGCCCTGGACAGAGGATTGGGGATAATACCCTGTAATTGTTCTCCTGATCTAACCTGTCCTACCTATGGATGTATTATACACGTATCTCTCCGCCCCTAGGACGTTTAGTCACGCGTATTTCATTTTAGCTTCCCTTCCTGCACCCTCCTTGTTTGGTACCTGCCACCCTAAAAGGTACATTGGAACCTATGCCTATCTAAGGGCTCATTGCAATCAACTATCTGGAGATAATGGAAAGTGACGTGTGCCGCTTCGTGTCCCCCATGTTCAATCCAGGGTTTCCCTTTCATCGAGAGGTTATCCTCGACAGCATTTTGTACACCTGCGTTAAACGTATTCAATCTAGTACGATCCTTTATTTTATTCTTACGAACGTTGAGGGGTCGTATAGGTTATGTAGGTTAGGTAGTTGCTTCGTCGTACGCAATATTCGAGAACCTCGACTTTTCACAGCGGAAAACTATAGCCGTCTTATTAGTTTTATATCTTTTACTGATACAATCAATATTTCAATAATACGAGAACAAAATTATTTACTTTTAGATAACAAAAATGGTGTAAGATCAATTTAACAATGATGCATTTATGCCAATACTATTAGAGTCCATTAAAGGGTGAAAGAATAATATTTTTCAACGTGAAACTTGGTGCTTATCACGCCTGTATACTGATCAATTTAGTAAAGACTTAATTTTATTTCAGTTAAAATTCCATTACAGAAACATCGTGTAGATGTGTACAACTCGCAAGAGTTGAATTGAAGTTGAATGTGATATTTGGATTATTCTTTAGATGTTCAATAAGCTTCCAGAAAAGACTCCTTGATATTTAGTTGCCCCTTATTTAGAACCTATTTTTTCCTCTCACAGAATCATCCTTCCGAAAGCAGAGAGGTGGAGGTGGTGATACAGCGGGAATAGAAAGAGGTGAGGGAGATATTGCCATGACTACGACAGGAGCCCAGTATGCTCTCGCAGCATCCGCTGGAACTGGCAGTAGCGGGGGTAGTTCCGGCACAGTGGGGGTGGATACCAAGCCTAGTGTCGTTGTTGTAACAACCTCCAGTTCCAGTGGGAACGGAGCTCAGACTCAATCCACTAGAGGTCAACAGCTCATTACTGTGGTAACCAGTCCTGATCCTTCGAGTCCTAACAACCTTCAGCCAATCCAGGTTGGTGATATTATCTTTTTTACTCCCCCAATCTTTTTCAAGGTATAGAAGAAATGAAACAGAGTGTTTAAATATTAAAGCATTCCAATTCTCTTTCCAAATTGTAAGTGAAGAACAAGTATTGCTCGTTCTTGCATAACAAATGTTATGACATTTTATTTGGCTGCATGTATATAAACAAAGTGTCAAAATGAGAACTGTTAGTAATCACTTTAATGAATTCTGTAGATTATACAATGTAAAAAATTTAAATTAATTCATAAGTGTAGAAGTATTAAAGAGTACAAAATATCACATTTCTTTTCTTGCCAACGTAACAGTGCTCAGACATGTTTTATGATCCTATTCTGGCCTAATTGCTAATTGAAGTTATTCTACACTCTAAGTACTGGAGTACTAGAGTACTATTACTACTATAGTATTGGATTTCAGTGTCAATATAAACAGGACAACATAAATGCTCTATTTTTTTCATGCATTCTAATTCGTTCGCCACCTTTTGAATAGTACTTCAAAAAGATATATTCAATATACTTTGTTCGATCATTACGCCCCCTGCCGATTCCTTAAATGAAGCTAACATTTCAGATTCCGGAGCATGGAATCTAAAATGTTCAGAAACCTCACATTCTACAATCATACCATTGGTCATGAGAGCACGCATACTATAAATAATAGTTTAGTTATTGGTTCAGGATCCACTTGAAACAGCTGCGGATTCTTCAAACGGATCATCGGGTGCCCCAGCACATGTCACTGCGCAGGTAGTAGTAAACACCACACATTCGACACAGCATACCCTCGTTGACGCGGACGCAGCATCTACATCTGCAGGAACCATCGTTGGTGGCTCACCACATTACATAACTGTCACAGGTACTTCGGGTTAGCTATTATAATGGTTTTAACAGCATATACTGTAACTTAAAATAAATTGTGCTCGCCAATTGTGAAGTAATATTCTCATTAATCAAAGATATTGTTTTTTTAATATACTATTAACGTTCCTATAAATATTTTATTAAACTCAGATACAATAACAAGTAAATAACTATAGTGTTAATGTAGAAATGTGGCGGTTTTCATTTTGTTCTATAAAATACACAGCACGAAACTGTAAATTTCAGTGTCTGGAGAACCAGAGGCAGTGGGTTCCGAGTCGGTGGCCCATCCAACCTATGTCCAGTATGTCGAGGGGGATGCCTCAACCTATATACCAACGAACGGACAAATGTAAGTACATGAGTATTAGTAATGTGAATCAGGTGCTGGAATTTTACTCCTTTTTACAGGACATATCCAGTATATGCTGTTGGCGAAGCGGGAGCTATGTACACTCCCGCTTCGAACCAATACTATACACCAGCATCCACTCCTGTAACATATGCCCAGGTAATTGTTCGTTTTTTAATCTCCAGCGTAGAGTATTCTTTATTTTTTGTATCCACCCAATGAACAAAACCATTCGTGGTATCATCGTATCTTTTAGTTTATTCCATTTCTCTCGTGCTATTTTACTGTAACAATTTTACAATTGAAAATTGAGTTAACTCGTACGATGGTTTGATAAATCATTGTCATTGATAGAATCTTCGTGATGCAGGTTACAGGTCAAGGTTCGAACACCACTACCGGTCAATTGCTTTCTCAGGGCAATGGTACTTACCTGATCCAACAGAGTGTCGTAGATGGGGACCCGACACATGCTCTCATATCTGCTGCTGCGGCGAGAGCCAGTCCTCAGACCGAAAGTGCAGTAAGTAAACTGTTTCAACCCTTTGAGCAGTACGAATGTATATTTACATCTTACCATAGCTTACTTATTGGAAAACTTACTGTTCAAAGGGTTAAATGGCATCTGTTTTCAAAACCTTTTAACCTCCTTACGTCAAATCATTCGTGTTTAATCTTTAAAAGTAAGACAAACTAGTCAAGTGACCTTCCTCGTGAATGCGTGCAAGTTTCCAATCCTTCGCAACAGCTGTGAATCTACGTGCAAAATCGTCGTTTGTAATGGTCAGATACAAATTACAAAGATAATTCTACGAACAGTCAGTAGAGAAAACACCAAATTAATAAAAGACAGTGGATGCCAATTATAGTGGGCATCGATGCGAACTTTAAATGCAATGCTAATGTGTCTATGCAACGATAAGGTATTTTAGATTACTACTGAAATTACTAAGGGAGTCATTCCTGCTACGTCAACGTTTCAACTGACGATCTGGCATGTAAGAATCAAAAGCTGATTTGTTGCCCTTTGATGGATCATGGTACTAACAAAATTCGCTATACCGATGAGTAAGCGATGCTTTGTTTGGGATAACGGTGTAGAAACACCGTTGAATACGTTCGTTAAAAGTGTCCTAGGTCGTTGAATGAAGTGTCTTGGCTTGAAAAAGACACGAAGAGAGGAGCAATGTTGCGACCAGTTCTTACGAGTGACCAGGGCTCACGTTGTGATAATCACTCGTATTAGAATCGGCACGGCATTGTGCTCTTCTTGATAACGGGGGCTAAGCAGGAGTCGGTACAACTCGTTGTTTGATAGGAGGCTGTGGTTAGCGGGGGTGGAGGGGCATACTTGATCAGCGGTAATTCAGGTGGTACGGCTGTCAGCGTGGAAGAGGCTGCTGCTGCGGCTGCCAACATGACGCATGCCACTAGAGTCTCCCAGGCCACCGTAAGCCATATCGACTCCCCATTTGTTAGCTAATTTCTTATATTAATCGTTGTTATTCGTCTGCATGCTTGTGTCGATCCATGTCGCCTCTTGTATGCTTCTTTAACGCCTCTCCTGAGCACGGGACAGCGTGTAATCTCGGTGAATTTTGCTCTCCCTCTCCACTGTGACCACTGCTTGCTAATTTGCTCTGCTTAAAGCTTGGATGATTTTTGCACTTTTTTTCCTTCCCACCCTTTTGAAGCTCAAACAACAATGAATTATTTTACATACTATTTGCAAAACTGCAGTTTCGTGGTATGTATATATAGTTGTTAAATAAGTGATCCGTGCAGAGCTTATATTTTTTATTCACACTTTATTCGTTACGGCGAAATCTGAATATATTTTATATTAACGTCGCTTCTAATTAGCCGATAACGCCTTGACAAATATTGCACGAAACTTTTTAAGTCAGCGCAGTAGTATATTACGGTCGAGTTGAAAGCACATAAGTGAATTTGTACAGCACATTAATTATCGTGGTGGGGATTGTGTTAAAGGATTTCCTTGAATACGATGATACAGTTACGTGCATAACTGCAGCCGGTATATGTCATTCGATAAAGTTGAACGGCATGATCACCTATTGCAGAAAATCGATCTTGTTAACTGGAATGAAATCCTTTATTGAAATAGGTTCAATGGCTCTTGGAAAATTACGAGACTGCCGATGGTGTCTCACTTCCAAGATCAACTCTGTACAACCACTACCTTCGGCACTGCTCGGATAATAAACTGGATCCGGTAAATGCTGCGAGTTTTGGGAAGCTGATACGATCTGTCTTTCTTGGTTTAAGAACCAGACGGCTGGGAACTCGGTACGTTTGTATGGACCGTCTCGTAAAATGGCGCGTATAAGTTAGAAAAGTTAATGACAAGGTTTGTTAATATTTTCAGAGGCAATTCCAAATATCATTACTATGGTATTCGCGTAAAACCGAACTCGCCGCTTATCATGTTGAACGAGGACGGCACATCTAGGCAACAACCAACGACGAATTCCCAAACTAAGAGATTTAAGTTTGTCAATCAAAAGCAAGACTCGACGTATGAAAACAATGCACAATCGAATATAAACGTCTCTTCCAATACATCGTCACCGCAGTATCATCAATATCTTGGTGAAGCAAGCGGAGCCATTCCGGAGTTCCCAGAAATTATTGTAGGGCATGGATCGTCACTACCAGAAGACTGTACTCTAGAAGATGTTGACACATTCCGAAGCATATATAGAGAACATTGCGAAGCATTCCTAGACGCGGTTTTAAACTTTGAATTTGCGACAGTCGAGAGTCTTTGGCGTGAATTCTGGCGTAGCCAGGATAACAACAATGGAGACGAGTGCGAAGAGGAGAAATATTTATCTAAGTAAATAATTAATCATCTATACTCGTAACTTGAAGTCGAAACCGATCAAGCGTATTAAATAACGCAATGATTCCCACTTTCAATTTAGAACCAAGCTGTATCAGATGTGCAAGTGTTCCGAGGTACAGGATTTCATTCGAAGAGTAGATTACACTTTCTATCAAAACTTAGTGGAAGTGCTCATGCCTGACGTGCTGCGACCAATTCCAAGTAAACTTTGAGACTTGTTATGTTATACATTTTGCTCCATACTCTTATCAGTATAAATAATATTCCTTTAATCGAACAGGTTCTTTGACTCAATCTATCAGGAATTTTGCTAAGGGGCTGGAGTCCTGGTTGACTTCTGCAATGAATGACTGTCCGGAAGAAATGATGCAAATTAAGGTATTGACAAGGAAAATTTAATTTAACAAGGGAACGTTTCTTTAGAAATGCAAATGTTGCCTACAGATCAACTTGCATCAATTATCGAAGAATTTTTCAAGATGGTTGTTTTCATTTTTTTTTCCAGTTAACAGCCGTCTCGGCCTTCGCTCAAACTTTGAGGCGGTACACTTCTTTAAATCACTTGGCACAAGCTGCTCGTGCTGTTCTACAGAATGCTAGTCAAATAAGTCAAATGCTTGCCGATCTGAACAGAGTAGATTTCCACAATGTCCAGGAACAGGTATTCACTCAATCCATTTAGACTTTTATTTCTATCTATCTGATTGCTTAGAACTATTTCTGAAATTTCCTTCGGAGTTATCTGTAAATCATAATTCGTGCACATTTTTTAGGCTTCTTGGGTATGTCAGTGCGATTATTCGGTGGTGCAACGTTTGGAGGCCGATTTCAAGGTCACATTACAGCAGCAAAATTCGCTGGAACAATGGGCGGTCTGGTTAAAAGGAGTTGTTACTCAAGTGCTCAAACCTTACGAAGGAAAACCAACTTTTGCCAAGGCTGCTCGCCAGTTTCTGCTTAAATGGTCATTTTATAGGTAACATAGATCCCATTCAGATATTAAAGTACGCCTCACTATAACGGTACTCGGTAACAATAATAAATCATTGCAGCTCAATGGTCATTCGCGATCTGACACTCAGAAGTGCAGCCAGCTTTGGGTCTTTTCATTTAATTCGTCTTTTGTACGACGAGTACATGTTTTATTTGATAGAGCATCAGGTGGCCGTAGCTACCGGCACTACTCCAATTGCAGTAATGGGCGATGTAAGTACCCCTACTCAACCTGTATCGATGTACTAAATGTCTGAATATTAAGTTTGTTTTAAATGTGGGTTGTAGAAAAGTCAGAATTGTTCCTTGATTAACACTTTCGGAACCACATCCAATGGAGGTAAATAGTGTTTTGCATCCAATCACAGTTATATGGTAGCTTGATGTCTTCAGTTAAGGTTCACTGGTTTCATTACAGATGCTTCAAGTCTGAATCAATCGAAACGTATGAAGCTGAGCTAACTGCGTGCCTACGTTCTGTAGACCGTAGATAAGGAAAGTGTAGAGTACACTGAAAGAATCCGGAGCATGAGCACGAATGCAAGCAGGCCTATTAACACGAGCTAGTCCCGTAAACTATTATTTTCTATTACTATTAAGGTAAACGTATCTTATATACGTTACGAAGGTTTTTACATAAAGAAAAACTCACGGCGAGTGCAGTTTAAATAAGTTTTCGTGTGATATAAGATATAGGGTACATATATCTCGAAGCCTTCCCGTTCGTAAAGAAATTGGCATTTATTGGTACAATTTCAAACACTGTAGCGTATCGTATCTAGTCGTTGGACTACCTGGAAAGTATTTGAAAAAAAAGAAAAAGAAGATGTGCGATCACGAACACATCATTGCCAGTTAGGTGGAGTCATACCTGGCCAATCTAGTGTTCAACCTAACAACATTTAACTCCATCGTTGTAGTAAATGCTAGTTTGATCGCGCGGCTAATTACCTCGTATACTACGGATACTTACCAACAATAATAAGGTGTCGGTGTTAAGAGATTTGTGCTCCTTAAAAAAGTTAAATCCGGAAACCTGTCATTCTTTCTTGAGAATCATAAATCATTTAATTTTAAAAGTAAAATATTATAAATGCAATTATTTGGGTTGAGTACCCTGATGACTATCCACTAGTCAGGAATGTTATGACGCATTACTGGCATACCTCATATCTTGACAGATGAGATGCTAGATTGCCCAAGTTTGACGGAATAACGTGCAACGCGTAAAAGAGTTCCACCAGGAGGTACGCCAGCTAATCTTAAAATAGGGCGCGGTTTAATTACCGCGCAGACCTTTTGTCCAAGGTCCATGAAATCCGCCCGGTCGATGGTACCGCCGAAATATTCCTATTCGAACGGCAACAATTTAGGAAATAAGTCATTACGAAGATAGAGAAGCAAGGTTTAGATAGGTCGAAGTATTCGTTTTCTTTTCTTTTCTTTTTTTTTTAATCATCAGCGATTTCAACGTTATTAGAGTTAGGATAAAGTTCTGTAATGTAAAGGTTGCACCGAAGTTGTCAAAGGGCTCCGGTCGATGCGGTTCGTCGTTAGAGAATATATGCAATTATCTGCTGAATTTGTAATATAAATACACGAACCTATTCGAGACAAAGAGCCAGAGTGCACGATTGTTAAAGCTTAAGAATCATCCATCGATCGCTGTCGACGCCATTAACGAGCGATCGAGAGACGAACGTTCTTCGCAATTGTACAGAAACGTAAGGCGCTCGTCTGGGGGGTTTGAAGTGGTAATTTTTAGTTAAATGTTAGGCACGCCCAATTGATTTCATTGTACTGTAAGTTATTAAGTTTTTTTCTTTATTGAGCACATGAGCGAATTTAACGTTGCGTTCTGTTTGTTTTGTATGTCAGTTAGTTGGAATTCCGGGAGAGCCTCGGTACTGGAAGTACGTGCTTTCGCGACTCTTTTTTCTTTCTTCTTTCACTGATTTTATACGCGCGACCCTATCCCTTCTGTGTTGGATCCATAGCGAGGGTACGTCGAAGTATTATTTTTTAGCGGACGCAACGCGCGTTCGGTAATTTCGAATTTCGTAGCGATTATTTCTAGCGCCAAAGAGCGACCTCACGGCTCGCCCGTCAGGTCTTACGTATGCTTCATTCGCGTCTCGTACTTAAGGAACATAATCCTCTCGAGAGACATCGAAGACGTTGACTCGCGTCCTTTTGATAGAGCGCGTCGAACGGATTTATTGCAATTTTATGTTCAGCGGTTGAATTAATTGCGCTAGTTTTGGCTAATCGCGCTCTTGCTCGAAGAGCGTCGAATCTCGCCGAGGGAGCGGCATCGCGTCTCTGCCGAAAGACCCGTAAAATGGCTTTTGTCAAGACGCGCTGCTGGTTAAAGGAGATCGCAATGATCGTAAACTGCGTGGTTTACACGAATTAGCGGTCCTTTTCTCATTCCATCGGTTCTTTGCCGGTCTCGTTTGATCTACAACGGCATCGTTTGGATGGTAATCGTGTGTACCGTTCTCGTCTCTCGGTATTACGCCTTTGTACGGTCAAATGTGGACGTACGAGTGTTAGGATTACTTTTTCGTATATCGTGCCGAGCGAAAGAGAGGGAGTGACCGAGGAACGGGGGGAAGGGGAAAGCATGAGATATCAAGTACTAGTCAAACACATTAGGTTAAGCCGAGAAAACAGGGATTGAATATCGGTACTGCGACGAGTCGGTCGCGGCTCGCGCGCTTCGAGGTAGAACTCGCGCACTTGCGAAGGGAGAGATCATTTCCTTAACTATAATGAGCTTATATGTGTAAAGAATTATCGATACCTAAGTGTACCTAATATAAGAATCGCTTATTTTACGACAGATTCTTAAATTATTCTAATTAACGTGGGTCTTTTAGAGATCGAGTCATAAGGTATAGGCTAACGACGTTGCCCGGTCCTCGCCGAGTCGAGTGATCCGTCTCGTACCGAGTTTTGTTTGCATTCCTGAAATGAATGGTCGCATAGGTTCAATAAATTGTAGGCTCGAGTCTACTCCTTTGAGGAATGTTTCGAGCGATCGCTATGTTTCGGACATATCGTTTACGGTACGAGGACGGGCTCGATGGTGTGGTATTTTTCGGTCATTATTCAAAGGCAATTGGAACGTCGATAGCCTTATGACGATTACGACGACGACGACGAGGACGACGTGGACGATGATGACAAATACGGCTTAAAAATCAAACGCACCAACAGTTTCCTGTAATGCGAGATGAACAAAACGGCCTTAAACATTTCCAAATATAGATGAAAGAAAATCGCTAATCCTATTGCGAATTAACTAGAGATACTTTGGGAGCGGGTTTAGAATCCTCTGATTGATATGAAAACAATGGGGGTGAGTCAGAGAGGCAGGTGGACGCGGAGGTGGAATGACGGGGAGGGGAGAGAAATAAGGATCGTTTTCTTTACAACGTACAGAAAATATTTTGATACCTCCCGATTTGCACAAATCAAGAATCGTTCATTACTGCTTGAATAAAATTATTTTTACTGAATGCAGCTCATGATAATAAGTTATATGGATTATGTGATGTATGCAAGGAATTCTAAGGGTTGTGTGAGTGTGCAAGCCGCAGAAATACATGAAATAATAAATATATGTTTAAAACCGAACGTTATCTTTTAATGGAGAGTGTTTTTACCATTATAGTTATACTATTTTCCTTCTGTAAAAGATTGAGTATTGACGTGGGTCTTTTAGGTTTAAAAGACCCGCCTTCAGTGATATCGACTTTCGTTCATTCGTGGAAGTTGCAGGTATAATAATTCATGAACTGAAATATATTGTAAGTAGGAACCACTGAAGTATATAGTAAGCATGAGATCGTTTTTAGAAAACAAAATTGAGTTTTCAATTTATCACTTTTAAATTAGCACTTCGTTTGACTGTGATGTGCGGCACCTGAACATTCCAATATGGCCGACTGCGTTTCCACCAGAGATGAGTTCATCTCTGTACGTAATAAACGCCCTGTCCTTCTATTCCTATGTTTATGACCGAAACATGTACACAAACAGGTTGCATTTCTGAACAAATCTGACATTCAATTGACGATATAAACGTACCTGTTAAAAATATTTACATTCATCCAATAGAACTAAAATGAAGTTGTGATATGACATTACGAGAAAAAATTATAAAATTGTGTTAAAGAAAAATTGTTAAGAACAATGATGGATTGTTTAAAGGAACCAGCATTCCACATTGGAGAGATTGATGAAAGTGTCAATCTTTCTTTACCTCCTGCTTCCGGAGAAGAGTATATCAAACGTGTAGTGTGTGTAAATTCAGTTTTAAGAATATGATAACTCGTTTTTTTATTTATTTTACATTGGTGTTACCTGCTCTGAACATTAGTCTATAAATACAATTGTAATAAAAATACAATTTATCTATGCAATTTCAGAATAGAAGCGCAAAGATGCGACGATGTAGTTGTGGCAGAAATAGATGAAAGCAGGTTGAAACAACCAAATGTTGCTATAAACTCGGTAAGTTACGCAACGTAGCATTGTTAAGAATCCAAATAATATTTGAACATTGAAAAAAGTAACAATGAAATTGCATATAAAGTTAGCAGGCTGCATTGAAGCTCCAGCACACCTGCGCCCTACATTAGATTGGCAGAAATGTCAAACAATTGATTTTTCCAAGCTTAGAATGTACATTACTCGTTTGAGAAACAAATTGGAAATGGAACCTAAGAGAAAACCTTTAACCACAAACCTGGTGAGTTCTTGTAATACTTTTCAACTAGATTTTTATTTAAAAAATTGAATTGCATTATTGCAATTGAATTATTTTAATTCATTGTTACAGCCAGATATAGACGATCAAAGCGGTTGGGTTAATTTTTGTACAGGTTTTTCTGGCGAAGGATATGAACTTTATGACCCGACATTATCTATTGTTCTATCACTGAGTCAATTTATGATAGAACAAATTCTAGAACATCTTGTACAGTTCATTGAAACACAAAATACGATTTCCAAAACATTAGGACAATGGATATACGCGTTACTTGTAGTCTTAGAATTACCTCTAAATCCTGATATGTGCTCCTGTTTGCGCTCTCTAGCAAGAGCATGTTCTATTATTCGGGCAAATTTGGTAAGCTATAACTCCAAGTTTGTAAAATTGGTTTAATAATTACTTATTTAAGTTTTTGGATGACTAAAAATATTTTCGATATTGTTTAGACTACAGCGGATCCACATGAGGTTACATCATTAAACTTATTCATTTGTCTGATTGCAAGATATTTTCGTCAACTGGACTTAGTGGACCCATAAAATTTCAGGAACATTTGAAGTTTGTAATATGGAGTGTGATACATAAATGTTACATATATAAAAAAAACATTGTCATATTCTTTCTATTAAGTATATCTTACAGTATTTCCATAACTTTAAGAGCTTATAAACGTAGTTACCTATGAAATTTGAAATCAGTCGATTTAAATTTCTAAAATTGTATTACTGTAAGGAATCAACAAATAAGTGGATGGAAAATGTTGAAATATCTTAAGCTATATTCTCATGATCCTGAAGTAGCGCAGCAGCTAATCTCTCCAGGTCGTCAAAACTGAGACTACTAACTTTGTTTTTCAAGTCCTTCACTACTTCATTAACTATCAATTCTGTTTCAGATTCTGTATAATAATATGATAAAACTTTGGACATCTCTTTTCTAAAAAGTTGTATACCAGATGCATCGGTAGATTTATTTTCACTAGTTATTGTTGCTTTCTTTTTGACAACTAGATTCAGTTTGCTTCCATCCTTAATTCCAGGGTAAAAACTGAGCGGGTTCTCATCTGAAACATTTCACTTTTGACTTTACGAACATCAATGTATTATATGTACATTATTTATTATTGAATATATTAAATATAAACGTAATAACGGTATTATAAACTATAAATAAAAAGTAATAACGTAGTAAATTAAACAATTACCTGCAAGAGCCTTTCCCATAAATAATAGTTTTTGTTGATTTGCATCAATACTTAAAAGATTACTGACTTTATTCTTTAATTCCAATATAGTCTCTGAAGGCGTAATCTGCAATGCAACAAGAAATCATGACGATTTGTCATACAAAGAGCTTCTATTCAAAATTTCCGAGTACAATTATATTTTTTTCACAAATAATTGGCTTAAATGATTCAACAATCACAAGAATTGTCTATAGTAGAACAAAGTACATGCATACTCAAAACAAAACTACTAAAATCTTCCATCGATACAAAAGTTATATTAAATTCAAACATGCAGGAAATTTTCAATATTATCAACTCTATTAGCAAAATAAGGCTTCAATCATGATGTCAAGGTGACTAAGCATGAGTACTCACGTCAACCACGCACTCGCTTCCTTGTAAAATTTTCACAGTAACTTGCATGGCGTATATTATTAGTCTAACTTGAAGATTATAACACAAAATAGAAAATCAACTTGCTCGAAATGACTGAATCTCGGGTGTAATTAATAAGAATTTAAGCATTTTTTGGAAGGTTATGTTTGCGATACAAAATCGATGAGAGATAAACCGACGTGGAATCAAAACGGAGTCTCAAGGATATAAAAGTGCAATCATTATGGGCATATATAGCAATTACCGGTAGAGGGCGGCACCTACACAATTTTCCTCGATTTGATTGGACTAAATGATGGCAATTGGTTGGATCTAACGGAATTGGCCAATAAAATTAATATAGTCAATTCGACCCATATTTAAACCGTTCCGAGATATTTTTATTATTGCAATCGTCTCTCTGTTACAACAAAAAATGTTATCATCATCACAGGAAACTCTTAATTCTACAGTGATGTTATTAAATATGCTGTTTACTGGGTTGCTTAACATGATGTGTATACATACTTATTACTGCAAATATTCTTACTTACCGATGCAGATAGTTCTTAATTCTTCAAAATGTTGCAGGCAGAGACATGCAGTATGGACTGAGCATTTATTGTGCTACTCTGTCCGCGTATTAAAAAGAGCCAGAAACACGTTGGTGCCATTCTCTTTCTCTCTCTACTTTTTTCTGTTTGGTCACCTCATCAGTTCTAACCTGTTACCATCAATTGTAAAGAAAAGAATTAAAAACCTAACCTAGACCACTAGTCACAGCTTTGGGTTTAAATTTCGTTGTTTCTTTTTTTTTATTTTACTTTCAATGTAAAATGTAGAAGACCTATTCAAATCTCGCGCCATGTCTTGACAGTAATATGGCTGTCCCTTCCGTCCCGTGGCTTCAACCACCTCGTGTCTATTGTTACCATCTTTTGCCAGTCCCCTCTATTTCTGTGTTCATGATCTTCCCTCAATCTTAACATCTCTTGTCAAACATTTTATTCGCATTTCCGGTACAATGTTATATTTACAATAATAATTCTAATGACTCCTTCGATACGTTTTCAATACATTGGCGAGAGAATTTACTTGTTTTTAAAAATATATTGTTTAGTGACTTGATCTAGTGAAATAAAGAAGGCACTGCCGTAGATAGGATGCCAAGAGGTATTGTTAAAAACATAATACCTACAAATGTTACGTTATATCACAATACTGTTTGAATATTTATGATAAATAATGATCAAGAATTTTGCAAAACCTGGGGTTTTAAATGAAACCCTGTATCAATATACATTTCAAAACCATTTTATTCGGTCGAGATATGTTTTACATATCAAAAATGTTCGCTAACGTTAATAATTAAGGGAGTAATGTTTGTATGTATTTAAGCATTCAATAGTGTAATTATTACAATTGCATAGCCTGAATAAATAAATAGTCGGAACTGAATCGATCTTCGAAAACTCCAATTTCATTAATGCTCCGAATGACGCATATTACATGCAAGTATTTTGTAATTAATATTTTTGTAATAATTTTGCCTCATAGTTTACTAAGCTTTCTTTATAAATCTAAATATTTGAAAAATAACATTTGATTATAGAATTATTGACTGGTTGAACACTGGTGATCCTTAGCAATCGATATTAAACTCCTTGTTTAAGCAGCATTGGTGCCTGGAGATTAAATTTAATTTTTCCACATAGGCAACAATGATTCAAGATTAGAGATTAGATTTCAAGTTAACTAGTCATATTTAGTTAATAGTTTAACGGACACGATTAACGAATAGTTGGAGCAAATAAAATTGTGCTAAAATATATTAAAGTAATTGATGACATTATTTGACAGTTTACTAAAGAATAATGACATGCTTGAACCTATTGGGTTGTCGAATAAGTCCGTTCACTTTTCTGTTGAACTGCCGTTCGGGAACGGACTTATCCGACAACCCAATAGCTCACAATTGATTTTAATGACATTCATATCTCGATACAACAGATTGTAACAAGTTATATCTAGAGATTCCTAATAATGTTATCTTGAATATTTACCTTCAAAAAGCTGCATTTATGTACTGAAAAATCAGTAAGGGAAGTTTGTATATATAGTTTTATCCATCCGAACATCAAAAATCGTAAGGTCTCTTTGAAAGCAACCTTCTTTTGCTCGGATATGTCAAACAGCCACTGTATTTATCAGAGTCATGCATAAGACAAATTTCTATGGTGTTTCTCACAATTATGAACCTACAAAAGAAGCAAAGATTAAATTCCTTTTAATAATAGAGCACTACGATGTTTTGATACTCGACGAAGATTGACATTTTCCAATGAGAACCTAGCGACATATATTTTGCATCGCATGGACTTGGCTTGAAAAATATAAAAAATTCGGTACAATTTTGGTACAGAATTATTTTACAGAGTAATTACTTTAAATCACTATAAAACGAGCAGGTAGAATGAGAAAAATCGTATCTCTGAAAATGAATCTGATATTTAATATTAAACAAATGTTATATTTAACGATTTTGAGGGGATGGGAAGACATGCAGATGGTGATCTTAAAATGAATGAAGATGAAATCAAAACGAGGGGACCGTTAGACATCAAAGAAAAATCTATAAACGATCTCCCTACCCCACAAATATAAAAAAAATCGTTATGTACGAGGAGTGTTCAAAGCATAGATTTGCTGCAAAAGAGCCCATCTCGATGGCACATTTCAAGTATGAAAACCGTATCAAATAAGATTTCAAAGCTGCTGACATAGATCTGATGTGATACGAAATCTCAAAGGAAATCGGGCATGTCCATAGCAAGGAAAATATGCAGAAAAAACATTTACGATTTGACGAATACTGCAAACTCCTTAAAAAGACATGAAAGAGTCAGCTTATATATATCTGAGAAGTCAAATCGTTGGTCAAAGTATTCTCCTAATTGGGTGTACCGATTCATTTCAAATTTCACCATGTGAACATGTAGGCCCTAAAGTAGGTCCTGAAACTCATGAAATTTTATTTTTCATCGAAAATTTATTTACTCATCATGGACTAGAACCAACATGGCGTGGTCCGTGCACGTTTTCGATTCGAAGATTCGTCACATGAAACATGGCTTTTGATAAATTTCTTGTAAAGTATTAAACATTAACAAGTCTACTATTTCGTTTATCAATTCGAAATCAGTTGCTTGTAAAGTATTAAACATTGATATCGTTGCTATTTTGTTTATCGATTCGAGATCGATTGCTTGTAAAGTATTAAACATTGATATTGTTGCTATTTTTTATATCAATTCGAGATGTGAATAATTAGTGCCGTGATATTTTGATTCAGATGGATTTTGACAAGTTATGAAAAGAATGCTGAAAGGATTATTTGTAATGCTACGATAACTCAAACGTATCGAATAATTAATTCACCATAGAGACGTCACTTAAACTGGTATGAAGGTATTTTAATTTCTAATTTTTAATTGTTTCCAAATAGATTCAGAATGGTTGTGCACCTATTTGATTCTCTAGTGGCTAAAACGTGACAACGTTCGCAACACAACTATCAATCAATCAGACATTGCATTGCAATTAGTTAGCTTACGACAAAAAGTAAACTATTTATCAAACATAGATTAAATTTATAGTTGTATATTAGTGGGCAAGCTGTTACGTAAACACTGTAGTCACTCAAGCAAGTGAATTATTGCACAATGGATAATTGTGTGAATGTTAGTTATGATGTTATTAATAATTTGCAGCAGATCCTATAACGAATTATGGATCCTTCCCTGAGTGATAAGCTTGATGCGCTGCAGCAGATAAGTCAACGGAAACTTGTTGAAATACTGAATTCAATTCCAGGGAAAAAAGATCTGATTATAGAAAGTAAATTAATGAAACCATTAGACTGTTTCGTCGGTGTAACTGTACTCAGGTATGTTTACCGATCCTTGATTAAAACATACTTAACATTAATTAATACAATATCGTGTAGGAAGTATGACGTCGACAAAATTTTTAAAATGGAACAAGGATTAAAACCTGTAAATACACAACGAGTGTTTCTAGTCTCGTGCAATTTAATCTCATGTAAACGAGTCCTTGATCAGGTGCAATCCGAACTTCCACAGTCTCATGGCGTATCGCATCATTTAATAATCGTTCCATACATTCCTGTGGTTTTACATACACTGATCGAAGAGGAAGGTAAATAAATTTCTTATTCAAATTGTTAATTCGCTTATCTTCTGCAACAAAAAAAGGATTTTTATTAACAGACTTTGTTAATGTCATTGCCTTTAGGTCTCACTGGATTATTGACAGTTCGTCGTCTTTCCTGGGAGTTTCTGAGATCCGATGGTAACATTCTGTCTTTAGAGGTACCGATGTTTACGGACTTGTATTATCACAAGGACAGCAGTTTTTTACCAGTCATAGCACGCAGCCTTTGGTCTCTCAAACTAGTACTCGGTTCTCCCAAACTCTCTATATCGTTTGGAAAATATAGTCAGCAAGTTCTGAGTATGGTGGATACGATGGAAGAAAGTTGGGGGTCTGCGGATGAAGACAATCAATTGGGTGCACTGATTGTAATGGACAGAAGTTTCGATCTGGCTACTGTCTTATTAACTCCGGTGACATATTCAGGTTTAATGAACGAGATCTTGGACATCAATGCTGGCACAGCCTACCTAAATAACTCTCTGAGTAAACTGGATCCCAAGAAGGACCAAATTTATGGAGAATTAAGGGACAGGCACTTCAGCGACATCTTTCAGACATTGCGCGAGAAGACCAGATCCCTAAAATGTACTTATTCATTTTCATTAACGATGTTGCACGATATGTATGTTCTCTGTATCTTGTCGCATGTATCAGTAATATCTGAAACGATGGATGATATCAGCCGAGCAAGAGGCCACGCAACGGATGAAGCTGGCCGATATGCAACGCTACGTCGCTAACGAGTTACAAAAGACCACCGAGGTGAAGCGTCAGCTAGCTTTCCACATTGCAGCATGCGAAGCGATCGTGGATGCCCTGGGCTCCGAATTCGAGGACCTGCAGCTCATTGAGGAGTCGATACTGGAATGCCGTAAATGGAAGGAATGCCTGGAGTACATCGAAAGAAATATAGGTATTGTTCCGCTAGAATTTCATAAAACTATAACGACTGCTTCGCTCCATCGTCACTTGCAGACGACCATCCTATGCGAAGCCTTCGCTTGATCTCTCTACTCTCGATCGCAAGTGACGGATCGACCGAGAGTGAACTGCGGCAGATTCAGAAATCGCATCTTCATGCCCACGGGTACGAGCATATACCGTTATTTCATAAAATGGAAACGGCGGGTTTACTGCGCTACAAGCCGGAGAACATTCTGAACAAACTTCCGTCTCGCAATAGCGATTGGGCCGCCAATGCTCAACGTCTAAAGCTCCTGCCTAATCGAGCTAAACAATTGGATCTAAAAGTGCCCACCTGTCCCAGCTACGTTTTCAATGGAGTATACATACCAGCCATTGTTAGTTTTCATTTAAGAATCTAAAAGCTCTCTAACTCTTGGTTGAACCGGTGACTGAAATTCTCTTTCTCCGTAGGCGCAAATCTTGAACATTGTGTTGAGGCAGGACATGGATACCAAAACTTTTGACGATATGGGCAATCTTCCTGGATGTTCTGTAACTGGCTATCGTGGACAGATACAACCGAGAACGGTTGTAGTTTATATAATAGGAGGAATAAGTTATGCGGAAATAGCCGCTTGTAGGCTCATTGAGGCGTCGACTGGGTCACGAATTGCTCTTGCCTCAGACAGTATAATAACGGGTGATAAACTGTTTCAAAGTTTACAGGACGCGTAAACTTTAAGATGAGATGATAATACCACACGCAAGAATACTCCAAGAAAAATTAAGTTTATAATTAGATTACGCGTATCTGGGAAAACGGTTTAATACGCTTTATAAAAAGATAAAATATACCATACAGATGTTTTTTTTATTATTATAATTGTCCTTATTTCCAATTTAATGAAGAATATATTTCGAAGATAAGATAATGCGGTGTCCATCAATTTCATCAGATATCATTATTTACTGTTACAAATTCTGATTGCGTTACATAATACACCCTTTTAATGATCGATTCAAATTATTCATGCCACGTAACTGCACATTGGACGCACCCGAGGGCGAAAACGGAATTATTCATGTAGCTTGTTTCAGATTTTGGGGCATACCGCTTTTTAATGAATAATTTAATAATTACGATTATCGTCGCGATTACGGTCACGATCGCGCCTTTGACGTCCCCAGTCCTGTCCTTGCCGATTGTAGTTCTGGCGATCGCGGAAGTTTCCTTGATTTCCTCTGGAGAAGAAGTTGCCTGTAACAAATATTTGGTTGTTACTTGTAAGACCATCTGTATAGATACAAGATGAAATATCATTATCGTAACGTACTCATAGTACGTAATAATCGGCATTACCTTGTTTCATTTCGAAGATGCGCTCATTGGAATCGACGAAGTTATTCACCTTATCGGTGAGCTGTAAAGCCAATGATTGAAGTCGGCTTGGTTCACTGCGATGCATTACAACCGTCTCGGTAGGATCATCGAGAGAGGCCTGTAAATTTAAAAGAAATTTAGGAAGTTGGTCGCCGATTAATTGCTTGCAAATTTAATGACAATTCGAACATGCCATTAGTTCCTCGTTGATGATCATTTTGCTAATGATGGAATGTACGACAGCCCGTTTCAACTGGAACATGTCTGCCAAAGTGGGCATGGATATCGAGTCGTAAACGTGCGAATAAGTGAACAAATACGTCCTCAAAGCCTCCTCCTTTATGAGTCTCGTTAGCATTGCTCGCACTTTGTCTGATTGGTAAAACAAGTCCCATACCTAGTAACATATGCAAGCTATGTAGACCTACTTACATTAGATAATTTAAGTACCACACTGTATTTTAAGGCTGCTGAGAATACTTACTTTAGCATTCATCTTCTCGTTGATAATGTAATTGTTACACAATTGCCAATTCCCATTCCGCATGGATTTCGCTGCGGCTACGACGTGTTCTCGCATAGACTCTGGTGGTCCAACAAGAGATTGGCGTTCACTGGAGCGAAGTTGTTGATAAAATGTTTTTGATATCATTCTCCGACGAGCATCGAATTCGTGCGCTATTCACATTAATTTATAGAATTACATTCATGGTTTTCCCTGTGCCCCACTTTCAAGTGCAGTTACGTCCTTTAATCCCCTGCGCTTTGATTTAATTATGAAAAATTTTGCAATAAAGCACCATTCAATTTCAGTTAGCCACTGCATAATATAATGGCGCAGCTGGCTATTACAAAATCATGACGAGTCTAGCTCGTCATTGTAGCGCAAGGGGTTAAAAAATATAATAAACGTTAAGTACATATTTTCCGTACCAGCCATGTAAGGAATTTCGATAAGCATTGCAGAAACAAGGTATACGCATTCCAACAATTCCAGATTTATATGCATGTGGAATGGCATCTGACGCTGTTTCTCTATTTTCTCCTGCTCCTTGCTGCGTTCATGCTGTCGTTGAGGTAACAATCCTTGGGCAAGTAACTCCTTAACTTTCCCTGTCATCATAAGGTCAACCAGACAATTGTGGGCATCCTTAATATTCGCATGGCGAAACGCGCAGAGTCCCAGATGAGCAATGGTTCGGTTGTATAAAATCTGAAACATAATTAGTTTTATATAGTTAAAACACTTTCACAGCACTTATCTTGAGTTTCAATTGTCTTTTCAAGTTTCTGCAGAATATACAGTTCTAAGGAATCGATGTACTACTATCCTTTGGATTTTGTGCAATTTTTATAAACTATAAAATTAAAAGTAAAAATACCCACTTTTTTCACATAAAAGAGTATAATACAAAATAAAATGCTAACCTATATTTAAATATACAGTGGACGTTTTGTGTAATAAGATAAGAGAAAGAAATGACACTCTAAATATAAATTACCTGAGTTGCTGGATCGGAGTGTTGAATCGTTTCTTGCAAATGGGACATCAGTATGAGATCTCGCGCCTGGAACCAGTTGTCGTGCAGAGCATGGTGGTAGATGTGTGACAAAATGGCACGAGTTCTGAGACGATCAGTATTATCCCGGGCATAAATATATTTACAAAGTTTTTCCATAACTTGGACTGAAGTTATTACATCAGAACCAAGTTCTCCCTATTTAACATAGAAAATAAAAAAATTACATGATGTTATGATTACTCTTCTTATGGAAAAGTAAATATTCATATAAACTTACTTCTTTCTGCTTCAGGACATTTGGATCAAATTTATAATAGAGATGTTCAATTTTTCGCAAATACACCCGACACAATTCCGAAGGGACTCCTTGTCTTTCAAGGTATTCTTGTACTTTATCTATAACAGTTGCCACCTGTTTTTCATCTTTTAGTCTATATTAAAATAGAATGAATTACTCAATGCTCACTGGCTCGTCATAGAACATCAAAAAACTTACCTTTCAACATATTCGTTGCTATGTGGATCACACTCCTTCAAAAGTTTAGTAAACTCCTCATCCAACCTTTCGACTAACGTGAGTACGCAACCGTGTATTTTGTATGGTGTTTTTTCGTATTCCTCTGCTTCATCTAAAATTGTCTCTGCGATGATCATATCTGTAGTGCTCAACAACATGTCAAGCATCTCGATAATACGCTCCAGTAGTCTAACAAGAAAAACAATTATGTCAAATAACATTAGATACTTATATACCGAGTAATACATCTTGACAAAAAAAAAACTTACTTGGACCAATACTCTGGCTTCATTGCATCAGAAACTTTGGGGTTGTAGTCAAAAATGGATGAAACAATTGAAAACTTAATTTTAACAGCAACAGCTGGTCCAAGATTGTGAGTATCAGCAATAGATTGTAATTCATGAAGAAGTTCAATTTGCTCCCGCCTGTCGGTACGCTTTTTACCACGAGCAGCAATAACTTCAGACAATTTTTTCAAAACTGCCCCTATATTAATTTCAGCATCTTTCGCAAACATTTTCGGCTTCTCTGAGGGAATTGCAACTCCACCCTTAACAGTTTCCCATTCGCCTTCCCCATCATCCTCATCACGTTTCTTTTTTCTTTCCTTTTCTTTACGTTCTTTACGTTGTTCCTTCTTTTTAGTTTTATCTTCATCTTCATCTTTATCAGTTGCTCTGCAATAGATAATTTAAATAAGATTTTTATAAATATAACAATCTTTTAAAAGACTTACTTTTTAATGAATCGCTCACGAATATTTTGATACTGTCCTTCATCTTCGCTGGTTGTACTATCGCTATCGGAATCAGATCCCCAATCGGAATCACTTTCACTGCCATCTTCACCATCTGCTGTACTCTTCTATAATTGATACCAACCAAATTCATATTTTACATTTGTTTAACAAAATTCAAATCTTATTCTTATTGTTGCTTTCAATGAATGTTGTATACCTTAGTCTTGGAAACATCGGGAATACTTGACTCAGCTATGGTTTTTTTGAAAGTGATTGCACTATCCTCTTCATCTGAAGATTTATCACTATCTTCGGCAACTATTAATAAATATATTTGTTAACAAAATTAATTGAAACATGAAAATGAACAAATACAAATTTAGTAACATTTAGTTTAATACTTTAACGTTAGGGGATGCAAAACCATATAAACTGTTATAATACACCACTGTTGCTAAGATGTTAATAATATAATATTGAAACCTTTTTCATCTTCTTCATCATCGCCTTGATCTGGATTTTCACGGAACTTTGCAATATCTTCTTCAAAATCCTTATTATACTTTCTTAACTTTTGACGAAGAGAAGTAAGTGACTTGGAATTATTTTTTGACATATTTTTGCGACCGTCTCGATCTTCCCAAACCTCACTGATAAAATCTTCCATTTCCACCAAGCATCTTACATAAAAGCGAGGAGTTTGACCATTCTCTTCTTTTGCAATTACTGGCAGCGCCTTTTGATATGCACGCATAAGATCTTCAAAGCCTGTTAAATTTAATAAAATATTTATGTATAATATACCCCACTGTGATTATATTTAACAAATAAAGATATAAAGATACATACTTGACAACATGCTACTCATATCTTTAATTTTTTTGTAATTACGAATGAGTTTTATGAGATTTGTAATCTCTTCATATCTCTTCTCCTTTGTAGATCGAACCACGCGTTTTGTCTCTTCTTCTTCATCACTGAACTATAATAATATAATATTCCTCGTTTTAATAAAAAATATAAATTACAATAGCAACCTCTGGATCAGTGTTAATAAAATCACTTACGGTAAATGCTGCAGCTGGTGCCCTTTGAATTTGCTCCTCTTCGGACGAGCTATCGGACTCAGAGTCCGTACCAGTTGCAAAGAATCGACTCATCTTCAATTGAAATCTATAATACCCAAATTAAATTATGATCGTGTCAATGATGTTCTAGTAAAAATGATGTTGACCAGATAAAGGTTAGAGAAAGTATGCAAAATCGTACGTCAACAATCGATTCGATAACAAATTAAATATTGCGTGTTAACGTCGACAAGAAATTTATACGAATAACTATTTATGCATTTGTGAGAATTTAAAGATACAATATTAATCCGTCTTTAAAATTCAACAACGCTTGATAGCCCGTGTCAAACACATGGTAATATTGCGCATTGGAATGAAATTTTCTCGACTTTTCTTCATACGCCTTTCATATTTAATTTAATATTTAAAACTTTATACGATTAGCCTTACACGTAAAATTATCCTGTCCAACTTCCACGTAAAATACGACGGGTTATGTAGTTCACCACAAATATGCCGACCACATGTAAGCATGGAACAGAACGAGAGATTGCGACAGACTTCAGTCGTACAGTCATTTATGCAGAGTTGTAAACAGCATTAACTAATTCACATATAGGTAATAGAACATACCTAAATTCGTGTCTGCAACGGAGTCGATTCTGTATTTTTGGTGAGGGTGCTCATTTTTTGCATTGTCATACCACGAGAATTTATTTACCTGATTCTATATCTGTTGAATGAAAATGTGAGATTTCGTCGACTAGTCTCGCGCCAAATTTCTCACATTTTCATCGCAGTGATAGGTACAGAATCGCAGGAAGTGCTCACTTTCAACATTTTCATAAGATTCGAGATATAGAATCGACTCCCAGTAGTTATAAAACTAGTGTAAAATGATCGTGTAAACGTACAGAATCTGGATGGTATAGACCGATTGTCTCTCTCTAGTAACGTAAAATAGTTTGATAAAAAGGGCTTTCAACATAACTAAAATGGAAAAAAGGCATTTCTTAATTTAAAATACAATATTACAAATACCAAGAAATAAGCAATGTAGTAAATTGGTACCATATTAGGAGATTGAACAAAATATCATTTTATTTATAAAACTTTAAAGTGCAGCTCGTGTTAACTTTGTGTATACAACAATCTGTAACAAGTATTTAAATGACTACGAGACACTGTATTTTTTGTATAAATGGTAATTAATTTTAGGGAAGCATAGTAACCAAAGGAGTCATAGATTTTTTGGTAGTTTGCCCTTTAGTGCACGGCACATAAGTCAATGTTGGAGTATTTAAACGTGGATTTATAGCATAAAACGGAAAACGGTCCATTCCATTGCATGCTGCACCATATTGGCCATTCTTGTTCAATGCAATTACACCACCAAAGAATGTTGGATAATGCTCTGCAATTCTGTTAACTGCAGTCTCAGCAGCTTTTTGAGGACTAGCTCCTCTACGCATTTCTTCAACAGCAAGAAAACTGTTAAATATAAAATAACATGTAATTGAAATGTATAGAAGACATTTTTGGTAAGATGAAAAAATCAGTATTTAATATGAAAGTTGAAGTACCTTGGTAAGAAACGCATCATAATGTCTCCATCACCAGTTCCGGCGGCAGCTCCAACTGTCGAATCTGCGTAAGCACCAGCACCTGCAATTGGAGAATCCCCGACGCGACCTGGAATCTTAAATTTTTTGCCGTTCGTTGAAGTTCCAGCAGCAATATTCTTTTGTGAATCGATAGCGATTATGCCAATTGTATCATGATTGTCAGGACCAACATTACAGGTGGCAATGTCCTGTGTATTCCAGAAATCACTTTTCAGGGGCCCATAGGGTCCGCAATTCTTCTGAGGGTTGGGACTCACATCCTGTTCATAATATTTAGGTTCAATACAGTTATATAAGCAACCATTGCACCTTATCACGTGATAAGATTAGTTAAGAATCATTAAATAAAATTACCTTCCAGTAGTTTGGTTGACACTTATTTTCTTTCCAATCTTGCCACATTGCCTTTGATTCATTGGTTTGTAATGATTCCACCTTAAATCCCAAACCTACAGCAAATTTGGTTGCAAGTTCACCCGCTAACAGGGAATGCATAGTGTTATCCAAGACTTTTCGTGCTACAGATATTGCTTGCTTGATATTTTGTAAACCTCCAACGCCGCCCACATCCATAGTTGTTCTGTTTTTACAATATTATTTTACATATATTTATAAAAGAAATTATTTTTCAAAATCTTTAACATACCCATCCATGATTAAAGCATCTAAAGTTGTATCCCCTAACTCATCGGGACTTCCACCATAGCCAACAGTTTTACGGCACTGAAGTTCTTCACATAAAGAACAACCTTCTTCTATGGCATCTAAAGCACTTCTACTTTCATCATTAATCACCTTCCAAGCTATAAATATAAAACCATACAATGGTTATTGCCATTAATTAGTAGCTAATTATTTTCTTATTCATGTACTGATATTAATTATATACAAACTCAGAGTCTATCTTAGATATTTGAATANTACCACATAAAACACAAACTCACATATGCACACTATAAGCGTATACCGGACAAACACAGATCTTAAGAATCTAATCTAAAACAAAATCCTAAACAGATGCCGATTCCAACCGCCAGCATCCCGAAGAAGGTTCCAGTCGGAGTGGACGCGTTGTGTGGGGTACTTCCGTACAAACACCAGGAAACATACAGCGGGCTACTCAGGATAGACTGTTACCAAGACAGTCCAGCCGACGACACCCTCTTCGAGCACGAGACCGGAGACTGGTCACTATGTCTCGAATGATTCGAGGAGATCCCAGAAGACCAACATCGTCTGTACTCCGTGGTCACGGAGTACCATCATATCAAACCCCACTCAAGAAGTACCCTCCGTTGCCGAGACTGCAGGATGCTCCTAGTTATCAATAAACCGGCGTTCACCTGCCGCCGGTGTACCTACTACTACATTAAGGACGACGCAAATAAGCAACGGGTGGATTCCGGGGGAGACCTCCTGGGCAGTCTGACCCGGACCCCCGTCATCCCATAATCTCCAACTTACGAGATAAACAATCCTAATGATGATGATAAAATTAACAATAATAATAACAATATAAGTACCCTTTTCTTTTCGTACAGCTTAACTGTTATATACATTTGATTTATTACCTTTTTCCGTAGCATTGAAGTAATCCCATGTTATCACTACTAGTGGAAAATCTTGGTCATGTTTTGTTGATCTTGTACATAATATTGTCAAGCAAAAGAGAAAGAACACCGCAATCATTGAACGTGTCATCTTGAATACCTCTCATGCAGCAATGAGAGATTTTTTTATATTACCAGTTGCAGTTCAGCGTCCATTTAATCTCATTTACTATGTTATCAGTATTATTAATATAACAACGTTCCCATGATAAGCTAAATTAGATACGTCATTCGTTTTCATACAATTCCATGCAAGATAAACCGACCGTTAACATATTTTATTTCTTACATTAAGCTTCTTAAATAATTATTACATTCGAGTTCCCAACAGTTGTTCATTATCGAATTAACTTCTATAAAAAAAAATTTTAATAAAGGGACTCATTTAAAAACAATTTCATTTCTAAGCATTGGAGCACATGCGCGCGCTTGACAAACGACTCTAAAATTACCTAATATTGCTAGATACCGCCGAGAGATGGCGATCGGTCATTATTTACTGAGAAGGTAAAATTTGTTTCTCTAAATTATTCATAACTTTGTTTTCCATATTTCTGCCAGCATAAAATTGGCACAAGTTGTTGGACTTCGGGGTTATAATTGTGAATATGGCCGAGATTATTTTTGACTACACGTAAAAGAGGTTGGATTATAACCTCAAATTACTGTTTAGTCGTTGCAGTCAATCTGTAGTAAATAATCACTAAGCGGAAAGTAATCTGAATTCCGTATTATTTCTCGGTATATAATTGTAGTATAACATGCATTATTAGTATCAATGAAATTGTTTTAGGATGTATCCTAACGTACCATCCCTCTTGAGAGCTGCGCAAACCACTCCGATTGTAAGTCGAAGTTTTGATTGCTGGACAGCTGCAATAACAAAACGGCATAGACGAGTATACGAAAGGGATTATCCAGTGACCCTTATTTTACCTGATGGTAGTAGTCTATCCATTCGATATTTTGAACCAAGAAAAATCATTCACCTCCCGCTGGATCTTTCTACACTGTCGGAGGCTGAGAAAAAGGCACGAATCGAAAATCGTAGGCCGAAGACCAAAATTTCATTAGAATCAGAGGAGGAAAATGTTGAATTCGATGCATTTAAATACATTAAGAGGAAAGTACGATAAGCATGATGGATTATGTTACTAATGGATAGATGTAGAAATCCTGCCACCGCAAGAACTTATGTACCATAGAAAACTTTTTTTTTGTATGTATATATAATCAAAATAAAAATATAGATGTACGTTCATTGCATCATATACTACCGTACGACTTTAAAATAATTTTCAGCGACTAGTTGGCAGAACCAAATATTTTAAACTAAAATTAAAACCAAAGATAGAGTTAATTGTCCTGCGGAACTGTTCAAGTAAAACCAGAATATACGAATATAATTATAGAATGAAACCATAATTCTTCACCATAAATTTAACAGGTACGTCTGATCGTAATGGTCAATTTTCACTATACCTTCCATAAATTCATTTAATAGAGGCATCCTTCGCGCCGTGAGGTCTGGAAAGGACGACGAGGAGTGTTAAAGGACTTTCTCTTTTGACCGACGACTTGGTTCCTCATAATTTCCGATCATCCGCTAGCCATAGATAATCGTCAAGTAACAATGCCAGGTGAACTTTCAACTGCAGACTGTGAGTGCATTCGAAAGTCGCGGTACAACGGACTTCTCCAGTTGGCCGAAAGTGAAGTTAATGCGTTTCTTCGTTTGCCGGACGTAAACCATTCCGCACGTGACTTACGTGTCCGTCCGCACCCGGTAAAGAAGATTTGAGGACACAGGAAGCGACCTTTGTTTAACGTTTCTTCTGCTCTGCCGTATTGAATGTCGCGCAAACAGTTATATTAATAACAAGTTATGGCCCACTATTAGCGAGCAAAGAAAGGCGCCTCAATATTTTCCGACATTCCCGCGGTTAATAGCAAACGAAGAAAACCGCGGTCAAGGATTTTCTTCGGTTCTGATTCCGTCGAACTGGAGCAATTCCGCGACACAATTTACATGCTGGATTGTAATTACAGGAGATTCCGGGACCCCTTCTTCGGCGGATTCACCGTTAGCCTGCCCGCGGCGGATGTTCCGCAAAATCCCGGAGAAATTGTTATTACGGGTACAGATTATTTAATGAAGCACTTTACGACGTTTCAAGACTCATTATCGCGCCATCAGGAGCGCTTTCGTAACCGTGTTGCTTCTTTTGATAATCATGGAGCAATCGGGGCGCCGGAACTCTGAGACACGAGGATCCATGGCAAAAGAACTTTGTCAATATTCTTTGTCAAATACGTATGTTATTAAAAGTTTGATCATTAATCAAACTTGGATGAGAAACTTTGATAACAAAAAAAAATACAGACGGTGACATTTTTCCATCAAATTTTCCATCAATGTGTCAGAGTTGCAGAGCATTTTCATGCTGTAATCGCCAAAAATGGACAGTAAAACAGACATGAAGTAAACTATTACAAATAAAAACAAAGTTAAACAATTAAGAACGGTAATACATGTAAAATAAAACGGTGTAGCCTCGTAGTGATATAAAGTGTATACATTTTTGGTCTCAACAAGTTTGTCTTTATTTCCGCAGTAATAATCAATTGCAGTCGACGGATGTATTGACATACTAACCGAAAGCATATTATTTGAGAAACATGAATCTTAAAAAATTCATGTATAAGTTGAGATTTGAAAAAGTTCATTGATCATGGACACAGGTCTACGGTCGGAAAATCAATGTGAGGCTACCAGGGAACAGCTGATCCTAGACCGCGTGGACCCCGCCATCTGACAGCTGTCATCCGCCACGTGGCCGCAACCCCTGCGATACCCTGAAGAGACCCGACTCCAATTATCTAATTACCATAAAGTCTATACTCGATGGACAATCTGAACCTCGATGTGCCAATATTTGATAAGTTGTAAATTAATATCGGCGTTGATTTTTCAAGGGCCACGTGGTACTGGCCATTTGACAGCTGTCCTCGCCTTACAGATTGTCCAGCGAAAGCGAGCTTCAACCTTAATTAGAAGAGTTTGCGACCAATCGACACTTCCGCTCACCGTCTCTATCAGATCACGCGTGATATAATGCTCAATCGCGGTTCGCACATGAGCTCGTATGGAGACGAGCACTTTCGATCGCAGTGAAACCGACGCGTTGCGACAGCCCCAGGAAAATTCTGAACCCTCTTCTTGGGCAACGATCAAATGTGTGTGCTCTCTATAAGGCACAAAATTCACTTTGTATTCAGACTTTGTATCAGACCGCTCGAGTCTCAGGCGAATATTACACCTGTATCGCCCGGCATACCAAATGAGACTTAATTAATAAAAAAAAGAAGAGGAGGTACCTCTGTACCAAAATCTCCGTTCATCTGTGCGAGATTTTTAGAAAGATTCGCCCTGGACTGTAAAAAAAATGCGTCCGGAATACACGCTTTGAGTCATGGTACACGGTTAATCGGGCGCACATGATTTATCTCAATTTCGGTAATCGGTTCACGTCATTTATGGTAAACCATTTTTAGAAGATTGTAATAATAAGTTTCTGGCGGACGGTAGCATTTTCTAGATCCGCAAAGAGACGAATACGCGAGTCTAAACTGTTCTTCGATCCCCATTCTGTCACATCATGACCTGGTTTACTGAGGAAGCGGGTTAATCGCAGGATATTTATGTGAAACATAAACATTGGACATTTGTTAATTATACTTGATACCTTGAAAACTAATTTTATGGATTTATATGCATATGTGACTCGTTTGGAAAAACGTCCTTAACTCTCCATGTGCGCTTTGCTCCGATTTTAATTTTTAATTAACAAGTGCAATGCGAAATTGTATCGCAGTAATTTATTTCAGTAGGGGGGAAAGAAATTGGAAAATTACTGCGGAAATATGAGTCTGGTTAAAGGAACCCAGAGTCACCTTGCATGCGTAATATCGGGTTAATACAATCGCGATTAAATGTATTTAGTTCTAAACTCTATCGAGTCTCATGAACTGCGTTCAAATATTCATTATTAATTTAAAAATGCAATGCCAAAATGAATCCCGGCAATTTTCATCATTAGGAAAAAAGGGATTAAAAATTCCTGCGGAAGTACGAGTCTCGTTAAGAACGTATTTGGCGCGAAACTCAGTCGAGTGTGTTGAAAATCGTTCTAATTTTAATTTTTAATCGTAAAGTGCGATGCGACAATTCTTGTCGTTGGTAAAAAGAGATTGAAAAATTCCTGCGAAAGTACGAGTCTTGTTAAGAACGTATTTGACCCGACACAGTAGAGTCTGTTGAAAATCGTTCTAATTTTAATTTTTAATCGTAAAGTGCGATGCGACAATTCTTGTCGTTGGTAAAAAGAGATTGAAAAATTCCTGCGAAAGTACGAGTCTTGTTAAGAACGTATTTGACCCGACACAGTAGAGTCTGTTGAAAATCGTTCTAATTTTAATTTTTAATCGTAAAGTGCGATGCGACAATTCTTGTCGTCGGTAAAAAGAGATTGGAAAATCACTGAGGAAATATGAGTTTCATCGAAGGAACGCAGTGTTCACTTTCGTGTATAATATCGGGTTAAAACAATCGGACCACCGTCGTGACCGATCCGCGATAACAGTGGTGACCACGATTGGTCCACCTGATCAGGTCCTGCTCCCCTGCCCGAGCACATGAACCTGAAGCTATGTAAACACCGTTGGTGAGGAAGGTAAAGAGACGGTTACTGCCTGGTAGGAGTCAGTTCTGTTATAGTAGGCCACGAGGCAACACTCGCGACTCTCTCTTCGCTGGACAAGTCTTACCGGAGTGACTCGTATCGAGTCGTGAAACTCACGCCAGACTGGCAAATAAACCTTAAATTTGAGTGCAAACTGTAAACGGGAGTGGCCGTTCCAAAACAAACCAGCGAATCCGACTGTCATGTCGCCGGACAATCGGCTTAGAAATCCCGAGCCCTGCTCCGATATCAGCGACCGATAGGACGAATAACACAGACCGTTAATTATCACTATTTTCTCGCCATATATAAATCGAATCTATTGTCATTAATATTAATAATATAAACTATACGTTATGTCTGAATAGCTCGACAAAATGAGATGAGTCGGTCATTTCGTTTGATCGGGAGATTTCAATCGTTTATTTTGGAAAGTTCGGAGAAACGGGCAACACGGTCGAGCTGATTTAACGGTGAATTTAATGTTCAGCTGAATGTTATGGATTTTTTTATGGAACGCGGTGGGAATATCTTGCCCGAATTCGGACGTTTTTAGGGTTTCTACGTTTTAATTATTTCTCGGGGTTCTCTTGATAGGGTGATAAGATACATGCGCGGGTGTCGGTGTTTTTAAAAAATGGATATCTAAGAGAAGAGAGGGTTCAAGGCGTCCCAGGTCGTGCGATGATCGGCAAAATTCTCGTTGGCTTTTGGTTACTGCGTTGGATCGGCCTCCTAGGTATGTAGAAATTATTTCTTATGGTGTAATTACGTAATTCATTTTTTAATGCATTTATGTTATGTATTCACAGACCTGAATAGACCCAAGCGCACATTACACATGATTGATGTCATACTCTTGCTCATGAACGAAGGAATCCTTTCGTCCTAAGAATTACCATTTACTTGATATTTATTTGTCTCGGGTGAAGTCGCAGGAATAATTTACTCACCTGAGGTGAAGTAATATTCTGACCTCACGTGCAGATAAATAACATTACTATTTACATCGCATAATGTCAATGCTTAACGTTCTCCAGCGATTTACATCCTACTTTAGTACTTCCATTAAAGTTGAATTTTATTTTTCTCTCTCGTAAGGTCGAAAGAATAATTTACTCCTGAGAGTGGAATAATACTTTAGTAAATAATTTTTATAAAGTACAGTAACTCCATGTCTTAATATTTAAACCGATTTTTTTTTTACTAGTGGTTTATTTTCGACTTGTGTCTCCATTATAATGAACATTCATTTCCCTCGCGCAAAGTCGTAAGAATAATTAGCTCCTGTAAGATGATGTTCCGACTTCACCTATTGATCAATCATTCCGATCAAATGTAACCGGCTCGTAATTTTAATATCTATGCCAGTGATCTCCAGCAATTTACTCGTCATCATTACTCGGGATATGATTTTCCAAGAAAAAAAAAGAAAAAGAAATATCCGGCACGACGAGTCACCTTACCTGGCCAAGTGTGGAACTTGGCCGACTGGCCTGCATTTAGAAAAAACTCGGTATGACACTTTCAAACTGGTCATATTTAAAGTCTTTTACGAAAGTGTCACGTCTGATCTTTCGTCGATTAAAAATGAAGGAGCGACCGCTTAGCGTCCTTTCTAGCCATTAATTGGGAATTAATTAAGCGCTAGAGAAATTCGGGCGAGAGCCTGGACAGCGATTTTAAATGGCTGCCAGTATTTTGACACATTATTTAACCAGGAAATCGAATGACCACATCGAGGTCGGCGCCTCCTCGGAGATTTGAAATTCGCGAGAGTGCGCAAAACTTTCCCCAAAGCGATCGAACGTGTCCGGATTAACCTATTCGAAATTCGGCGGAATTTAAGACGCAACTCGGCCGCCATCTTGGAATATTTATGTCCTTCATCCTATTTAATTCGAGGCGGAAATCTCGCAATAATGAAATCGGGACTCGGGCAACGAACGATGATAAATCGCCGCAAAAGTCGATCGTTGAAAGGAACGTTAATGATTTCTCAACCGTATGTTTATCGTTAGTTGAGATTATGTTGAACTGATGAGCTGTTATGCAACTTTTACCAAGCAGGCTAGAACGCAAGGCTTAAGGCTGTGGAATTATGAAATCAACCTATCAAGGACGCGCCATTAAACGAATGCAATAATGCTTACGCCTTGTTGGACACGTTTACCATGACTGAGCTTTCCCCATAATTGTATCGCACTTTTAAATTAGTTAAACATCCCTGTACATAACGCGTGTATATGATATTAATTGGAGGGACTTCGCGGAGGGGAATATTGTAAGAAAAATCTTGTCAAAATTCAGTAGGCCTGTCCTTTTTATATCATAATTCATTGTACATGCAGTTCTTGCTTTACAAACTCCTCAACAACTTATTTTCTTTCTACCACTTCCTACCGGAATGTTTATCTTAAACCGTGCGCTGTTAACTTTTGAAATATTCTATTATCGTATCAGAGGGTTTATTTTAAATCGTGCACGGCATTCCGAATTCTCGATTTACGTGTATTCATACATTTTCTAATTTATAATTTTTCCATTTTTCTGTGTTAAACTCCAGTTATGAGGTGCATAAAAATGTATGTAAATTTGATCGATTTTCATCAGCCTAGAGGGAGGAACCTGCTTGTATAATTAAGAATTAATTTCATGTGTGGTTAAAAATGCATAACAGTCTATACAGCATTTACAATTTCGAGCACACGTTGTATAGAGGAATTGTGCGTGTACACTGTACACACGTAAGGATCGGTGGCTCTGCACTCGGCAATCGACAATCAACGAGCAGCGAAAGCGCCGTTCCTCGATGCGTTATACACGCGCTCGGTAGCTGTATAGAGACAGTGAAAAGTAAAGCCCAAGCAAATAGAATCGACGCCTTTGTCGGGCCGATAAAATACGAAATTTCTTGCTCAATGCCGATCGCGGCCGCCATTGGCCATCGGCTCGTTCTTGGAAGAGACTGGTCGCCAGTTAAAATCGTGAAAGTGGTTCGCGATGGAAAGGCTCGAAATTTCTGCGAGAAATCCTCAGGCGTAGGTGGACGGTCAGTCGGCGGTCCCAACCTACTTTTCGAGGTCACTTAAGAGGTCTTCCTGCAGCTCGCGGGACAATAAGCAGCCATTTTGGTCCGACCGATCGGCGATCCATATTCAATGGATAGTCAATCGATCGTCGATCGATCCTCGATCGATCCTCGACTGATCACGACCGACGCATGATGTGGTCCAGGTACCTTTCTCTCCGACTCCTTCGCCCTCCTCTTCTGGGCTGCACCTCGAAACACGGGATTCCAATTAGCTCTTTAAACGGGGATTTTTGTCTTATCGTCATGCGCTCCTGAGATACCTCAAAAAAGTGGAAAAGTACTATAGAGAGAAATATACCCTTAAATGCTAAGGGGATGAGAAAGTGGCTTCTGAGGGGCATAACGTTCATGAAACCTTTCTACGAACTGGATCTACCGAATCGTTTCAAACTTTACAACTTGAACATGCTGACTATAAGAAAGGTTATGACACTCATAGAATTTCGATTTTTTAAAAAAATTGAAATTTCATGGCTATCTGGATCGTCTTTATAGCCTCCACGTTCACATCGAGGTTGGAAACGATTCGGTACATTCAGTTCGAAGAAAAGTATCATAAACGAGACCTCTTTGACGCCACTTTCACATCACCTTAAGGTATGAGTGAGTATGTACTGATTTCTTGTACGCTGAGAAAAGAATTTCTTTGAATAATGCTCATTTGGACGAGATAACAGAGTTTCGGTAGAAAGAACATGTAATTACCCCGAAGAATTTGTTGCTTATCATTTTAAGAAATTTTTGTAACCCCATTCAAGGAAATCATTTCTTTGAAAGAAAAAAAAAGAAAAAATGTTTTTTCTCAGAGTATATAAGAAATACTTTACCTGTGCCGATTTATGCCTTATACCACGCATTCCTGAGGTACCTGAATAAAATAGGTAAGCACTTTGGAGAGAGGTCTATCCTGCAATGTTAAGGCTGGGTATATACGTAATGATTCCTTGGTTGTAAAAAATACTTTATACGTAATACCAAGAGCCGCGGTTGCGTCTCGGACAAGTTCACGGGCTTCGACTGAGCGCTGCGTCTCTTTACTCTGAACACCGCTTTAAATTTCCCATCTAATTTTCATTCAACCACCGATGCTGTTATTAAAACTTACTGTACACTTTTTAAACATAGAATATGTAAATTGTTACACATAGATTTTGGGACACTCGATGAAATTCCTAAATTTTGTAAGGAAGAAATGGATGAGATTAATAAATAAGTAAACTCGTAAAATATCTCGATGCCATCTAGTGCGACAGGGGCACTGTTTCAAAATGTATGATCAGGATAAACAACTCACAGTAACAAGCAATTTTAGTTGTTTCAGTAAATGTAAACATTTGAAAACGGGTCGACATTTTTTTTTTCCGGAATTTTTTTGGATATGGGAGAAACAAAAAAACGATCACTTCGCTGGAGCAATAGAAATTCTATTCAGAGTTGCAATATTCTTTAAAAATAATAACGAACTGTATATCACTCATTCGATTAAGTAATAACAATACATTTATGCTGTCGGTGCAATTATTACTGCAATAACAGCAAAACTTTATCAGCAATGCTGTGCTTCGTTAAAAGTGCAAATATCACTTTGTTCCGTGTAGAAATCATGCCTGTTTATAAATTATATTACATACATAAAAGAACGCAGTCCAGAAAAACTTCAGTTCGCCGTGAAGTTGCACCACCGCGCCTGCGCAGTTCCTCAGGCGAAAAATCATTTTTCGTAACGCGGTTACTTACGCAGGAGGAGGTGAAAAATAAAGAGCGAGGGATTGATCTCAAGGAAGAGTATGCCCGTGGACATATTGTGTAACTTAGCGGACACGTTTCGCCCTTAATTACGCGTTTAACGCGTTCCGGGAAAGGATTCTCCACGCCGAAAGAGGAAGTCTTCGCGCGGGACCAAAATGGCGGCGCGCCCAAGCGAGCCGCTCATTATTTCGGGCAGGGTTGCACATTTTTGAAATCCATCACGCCTCTTCGCGTTACCTCGACTTCCGGTTTTATTTGTCGGGGATCGAGGTGCATCGCTCCTTGACGTGGAGAACATCTCCGGCGACAGGACGATGGCCTCTGGCTGCCTCGAACGGGGAATTTCTACGGTCTGACTGCCGGATACTTTCTCCCATTTCGTTTGGCAGTTTTTCTCTTTCGCTCTTTAAAGCCCCTTTAAGGACTCGTTTTTCTTGCTAATCGGTTTTATTAACCGAGCACATTCGCCAAAAGTTGCCACCCGTAAGGAAAAAGTGTATTTATGTTTAAGAAAGGCTACTTCCGCAACGATCAAGATTTCGAGAAATAAACAGAGATGAAAGATCAATAATCCGGTTACGTTGATTGGATCTTCGTCGCGTGGATTAGCCTCTCTTGGTAATCGATTATATCAATCGATCACATTCGCCGAAAGTGTCCGCACCTTCGAGGAAACGTTGCTTCTTATACCGAATGAAATTTCACCGCGTTAATGAAATTTTCTAAAATGAAATGAGATAAGGAAAAGCAATCCAGTTACGTTGATTGGACGTAGAAGACATCGAGAGGCCTTAAGGAGACTCTCGGTCTTCTATCGTTTTTGCATAGCGGACATTGACAGCACTTACCACGCGCAATAAGTGTAAACGTCATGGTGATTACAAAGCCGCCGACTT